AATGGCGTGAGCCAAGAGCAGGAAGGGGGGGATGCTGTCAAACATGCTGAGAGGATTTTGAGTGGAAGGAGCAGGTGAAAAGGGAACACACACCCTGTCTCACCTGCTTCTCCGCAAAACCCGATTCTGAGGTTTACCAGTCAAGGACGAGAAATGGAGGTAACTGAGACTGATGGAAACAGGGTCACCCATACTGCCATCACTCAGAATCGGATCTGCTTCTTCCTCCTGTACAGAGGACAGCGGTGAGCAGCAGAGCGACATTGTTGAAGAAGAAGACAGGCCAGTTTGAAGAAAAGTGACATCCTCCATGGTCCTGTCTTAAGAGCTTGGGAAGCTGCATTGAAGAGGAGCTTTTCATCTGGCTTTGATGTGACTTGCACCCCTGCCTGTGTGCTTAAAATGGTTTGGGGTTCTCAGCAAACACACACACACACACACACACACACACACACACACACATTTTTCCTTCCATTTTTTAAAAAATTGGTTTGATTTGCTGTACCTTTTAAAAATGATGTTAGAAAGCTTTGGGAACTGGCAGTGTTGCAGGGAAAGCTACACTTGGCATCTAAGGTGCCCTTTTCGCTCTGACCCCTGGTGTCATGCAGGTTGACTGATGCTGATTTGGGGGGAGCAGGAGTGGGAGGGGGCACTTGGCCTCAGTGCCCTTTGCCACTATTAAAGGTATGTAACCAGCTTACCTCAGCACACAAGGGTATAAGTGTGGGGTGATAGGGACACTTCCTTTATCACTGCCCAGGTAGTGAAGGAACCAGGTAAACGTCAGCGCACTGGAAAAGGTGAGGAGGAGTCACCGGCTGATGCTAGTCAGAGGGAAGCCGGGTGGTTCAGGTTTTTGGAGTGGAAACACCCAGACTTGAATCTGGGCCTTGCTACTTGTTTCTAGGGCTTGGGCAGGTTGCTTTACCTCTCTCCCCTGGGCCTCAATTTCCTCATCCATAAAATAGCTGAAATCACAGCTGCCTTACAGAGTTATGGTGAGGACTTTGGGATGTGAAAGTACCTAGGAGGTGCTCAGTAGGTGGTCGTTATCTTCTTCCCCTTCCCTAGTGGAAGAAAAAAATGTCATTTGTAAGCTGTGAGCTGCTGCCTGGGCCCTGCATTCTTCTTTGTAGAATGGTTACAGATGAGGGCATTATCAGAGCTCTCCCGGTGTTTGCTTCCCTAGAAATACAATTCTTTTCAAAAGAGGTAGGAGCCCGCAAGAGAAAGTGCCTTTCATTAGAACCTCACATTTTGCAAAGCTGCATATTTATACAAAAGCCTCTCATATGATACACTATTAGCTTTTAGGCTTTCCCATTCTTCCTTTCCCCTGTGACTTTGAAAGAAGGCAGGAGAAATGTTTTGTAAGGGAATATCTGTTGAGAAGTACTCCTTGGGCAGACCAGTGCACCTGGCGTTGGTTTCTCCATGTCTGAAATGGGAAACTTATTTGCTTCTCTTTAAGGATATTATGAGGATACACTTAATAATGCTAAGTTTTGAATGAAAAGAGCACGTGATGAATTTAAGCTGCTGATGCTTCCAGTAGAACCTGTACAGTTTAGAGATACTTTCCCCAATTTTATTCAAATCTAAAAATGTCAGGGGTCTTATGTGCAAAGGGTGTGTGCTAAGCATAAAAGTCTGACTTGAATTTGCATTCTTAATATTGCACATTCTGCTCTGATGGGCAAGACCTAGAGCTTGAAGGAGAACTTCCCTTCTATAATTATGGGGACTGGGACTCCTGAGACACTGGTTATGTGCAAGGTTACCCCACAGGTGTGCTTGGGGTTAGTCTATTTTCTTGTATGAAGGATGAAGGGACTAAACTGAGCAAGTCATTAGAAGTTGAGTCCTGTCCCCAGCTGAGAACCCTGGGGAGCTCAGGAGCTGGCTGCAGATTTGTATCCGTCAGGAACAGCTGTGAACTGCAGTCTCTTCATTGGGCTGGTCTTTTGCTGCGTGGTGTCTCGTGCATGTAAACCACTCTGACCAGTCTAAGTTAGGGTCATTTACAGAACAGGATACTTAGGTTGCTTCTAAAGTTACTGAACAATGAGCTGGTCTCTCCTTTAGAATCTTCCCTGAGTTCCATTCCCACCTACTTTGCAGAGGCAATGATATTTTCAAAAATAATAGGTCGCAAAATAATAGGTCGGAAAGGTCGCAAAAATTCCCTAGCTGGGAACACAGGATGATTTTCAAGACCACTGAAATGTTTCTGCAATTGTTTCTTTTCTTGCACACACACCTGATAGGTAGGAAATCTTCAACATAGTTTCTCCACTAGCAAATGGGAGCTTCAAGGTCTTGGTGCCAAACACTATAAACCCTGGACTAGCTGAGCTGTGACTGCTGTCAGTTCTACCTGAGCCCTGAGCACACGTTAATGTGGCTGGGTCAGTGAAGAACCCAGGTACTGCGGGGTCTTCAAATTTTAAGGATTTTTAAAGAAAGAATTAGGGCTTTTTCCCCCTCTCTTTTAAGATGACCCATCCCCAAATCCACAAGCATGTTAACAATGAATTACAGCCTTTGTGTGGCAAAGTCCAAGCTGTTACTTTATGCCTTATGTACATTCTTATCTGGGTGTATGGTGCAGGCAGAGACCAACTCCTTATCAGAGCCAGGAAGGGAACGACTTCAGGGCTATCACAACGGCTGTTTCTTTTTTTTCTTTTCTCAAAACCTGGTGGACATTGGGGAAAGGGCCCCTGCAGTCTTGCTGCTTTGATGTTAGCTCTGCTTCTCACAAGCACATATAGGCTCTGTTACTGCAGCAGGAAAACACATGATGGAAAATTTCCATGACCCATGCACTGGAAACCTGGAAAATCATCCTTGCTGGGAAAAATTATGATGATGCAATAAGTGCCAACCGGTATTTCTTACCATGGGGCTGGCCAGGCTGTGCTGCAAAGAAAAATAAGCAGACCCTCTGCATTATTTACATTTTAATATTTGCTGGGGGGGGTTGGGGAGCAATTCATCCTGAGGTTATTATAATGGATTTTTTAAAAGATGATGCAATAAAGTTATTTTTTAAGTAAAAGGTTTCGTGAGCTTGACTGAGGCTTGATTAGTAAACCGAAAGATTTGGGGAAGTGGGTTTAGGACCCCCCATTTTCTTTTACTAGCTTTCCTACTATTGGTAACAATAGTGCCCTCGTTGCTATTTGATTTTTTTCCATGGCTGGTAGACACGACCCAGCCCCTAACATCTACTGACACACCATCACCGTTGGTAACCTCCCCGAGACACTGGCTCTTCGATTTTTCTCTCCTTGCGGAAGCCTTTTGGCTCCAACGGCAAGTTTTGGAAAGGGCCCAAAGTCCCCATGGAGAACACAGAACCGAGGGACCGGAGACTATTTAAATCCGCCTTCCGGTCGCGGTCCTGGGTGGTGACTTCGGAGATGCACCCCGAGCCCCCAGCTACCTGTGCTGTCCACGATGTCTTCCCCCCACCTCCCGCTCGAGTTGCCCGTTCCTTTCCCTGTTCTAGGCCTTCACTCTTAGGTGAACCCCCCCCTCCCTTTTTTTTTTTTAGATTCCAAGTTCCCTGGCTCTTGGGGCAACGCCGTCCCACTTTCGATGCACTTCCTTTCCAAGCAAACGCACGTTTCCTACCTTAACCTGTTCCCCCTGGTCCAGTCGGACCTAGGGCCCCGGCGCACTCGCCAAGCCCCCGTTTCCCTCCGCGCTCACTTCCGCTCCCTCCCGTCGCCGAGCCGCCCCTCACCCCCTGCAGGTCACACCCCCCCCCCGCCCCCCAGCTCGTGCGCTGTCGGTTCCCTTCCATTTGTCCATGCCCCCTTCCCAACGGCTGGCCGCCGCCACGCACGCTCCATTTGCCCACGCGCTTTTCTCTTCCCTGCTCCCCCTTCTCTGACGCCCAGCCCGGGTCTCCTCAGGCCCCGCTCCCACTCGGTTCTCCCTCCTCGTCGCTGAGCCCTTCCACACGCTCCGGCTCGGCCGCTCCGGACCTCGCCCTGCCCCGCCCCCTCTCGCTTTCCGTCTCCCCATTCTCCTTTTTATGGGGCCACTCCCCACGTGGTCGCCCCTCCGGTTACCACCCTGCCCCGACGCCCCCCGTTTTCCCCCAGCCCTGCCCCTGGCCGCTCGCCCGCCTTTTTGCCCCTCCCCCTCCCCCTGTGACTGCCCGGCCCGCGTCTTCCGCGACCCGGCTTCTCGTCCCTCTCCGGTTTTCACCCCTCGGCCTCTCCCATCCCGCCCCCGCCCCGTCTTCACCGGGCTGGCTTTCACCTGGGCCCCCTCCACGTTTTCCCTTCAGCCCCGCTGCTCCCCAGCCCCGGTTTTCCTCAGCCCTTCTGCCCCCCCAAGTCCAGGTCTCCCTCAGCCCCGCTGCCCCCCAGCCCCCCTTTTCCTCAGCCCTTCTCCCCCCCAAGTCTAGCCCTTCTGCCCCCCAGAGTCCCTCAGCCGCGCTCCCCGGCTTTCCCCCCCAAGTCCAGGTCTCCCTCAGCCCCGCTGCCCCCAGCCCCGGTTTCCCAGCCCTTCTGCCCCCCAGCTCCCCAGCCCCTGCCCCCCAGCCCCCCTTTTCCTCAGCCCTTCTCCCCCCCAAGTCCAGGTCTCTCTCAGCCCTTCTGCCCCCCCAAGTCCAGGTCTCCCTCAGCCCCGCTGCTCCCCAGCTTCGGTCTCCCTCAGCCCTTCTCCCCCCCCAAGTCCAGGTCTCCCTCAGCCCCGCTGCCCCCCAGCCCCGGTTTTCCTCAGCCCTGCTCGCCCCGCCCCCCGCGCGTCCACGCCCGCGCCCGCCGCCATGTGACGGGAAGCAGCTGATGGCCTCTCCGGGTGGCCGCGGGCTGGTCGGGGCCGCGACCGGGGCGGCGGCCGGGAGGCGAGCCGGCGCGGGAACGGAATGAGGGCCGACGGCCCTGGGGGCTGAGGCGCCCGCCGCCTGCCGCGGGGCCGCGCGCGTCCTCCATGGAGGCCGGAGGTGAGTGGGGCGGGGGCGCGCCGGTTCCCGCCCGGCGCCGCCAGGCCCGGTCTCCCGGCGGCGCGGGGCGGGCTCGGCCGCGGAGGGAGGACGCGGCGGGGGCGCCCGGCCCGGGCCGCCCGCTCGGGCAGACGGCGGGGTGCGCGCCCGGCGCCCAGCTTTGTTTCACTTTCGCTGTCAGCGGCCGCCTCTGCGCCCCCAGCCGCCGGCGGGACCCGGGGAGAGCGGGCCTCTGCGCGGAGGGGCCCCCCACCGCCCGGGAGAGTGGGGGGCGCCCAGCCTGCAGGGGTGACGCCCGGAGCGGCGGGTGCCCAGGCGCCGGGCGGCGCGCCCGCAGGTCTGGGCGGGAGTCGCCGAGCCCCTTCCGAGCGGCGGCCGTGGTGGCCCCGGCGTCAGCGCCGCGTCTGCACGGCGGACGGCGGACGAGGGTCGTTCTTGCCTCGGCGCGCGGCGGGAGCTTCCCCAGCCCGCGTGGCCGTGGCGGACGCCCGCGGGTGCGAGAGCCCGGCGTTCGGGGCCGCCCCCAGCAGAGTCCGAAGCGCGGGGGCAGGGGGGGCGGTCCCGGGCGACGGGCGCGGGGGGCCCGGTGCACACCTGCCTCTGCCCTCGTTGGCTCGCAGCTGTCAGCAGGAGACGGCGTGGCGGTCGGGGGGCCTCGGGCCCCACGTGGCGGTCTCCGTGGGCAGCGCGACCTTGTCACGCAGAGGCAGGAAGCTGGACACACGCCGCTCGTTCTCCCTTCCCACCGCCTTGCCCCGAAACCCCAGTTGCGGGACATCGCGGGGTGTGTTTGGGATGGGCTCGGGGGCCCTCCCCGCGCAGAGGCGGCTTCTCCGGGGTCTCGGCCAGCAGGAGGGGTCGCGGCCTGGCCCAGGTGTGTTCTCGAGCCCAGTCTCGTTCCCCGAGTTCAGGCTGCGCCGGGTCTGCGGGGCTCTGGTCGCTGAGCGGGTCCCTGCTCCCTGGACTGGGCGGGGTGGCGGGCGGGGGCTGCAACCCCAGGGTGCTCCCTGGGGTGGTGTGAGGTTTTAATTTGGGAAGTGACATTTCTTTGTTCCCGGAGTCAGGCATCGTCAGTGGAAGGTGTGGAGGCCACTCTCTCCGCCTTCCCATTTAGATAAGGGCCTGCTTTGCAGCGGCTGTGCCCCCGGAGACTCTTTGCAAAGGGCCCTCCCTGTTCGCGCGAATCTGCCGGGAGTCTTTTTCCAGCTTCCGCTGTCATTTCACCGACTCCTCGTCGCGCAGGCTGGAGACAGTCTGCAGCCAGCCGCCCTTTCAGCAGGAATCCGTTCCCAGTCCTGGGTCTTTCCTGACCACTGACAGCCGTGTTTTGCGGTGTGGGCAGAGCTGTTGAGAGCTGCCAAGCTACTGTTTAAAAAAAAAAAAAAAAAAGCCTAAGAGTTTTACATTCTTTTAAAACTGAATACAGCCTATTGTAACAGGATTACAATGGACAACAGGAGATATTTCAGAGCATTGCTTAGCTTTCGTTTATTCATTCAACAAATATTCACTGATGATCTGCCATGTGCAGCATTCTCTAGGCCAGTGCTGGCCATTAGAAATGTAATGCAAGCCACGTATATAATTTAAGATGTTCTAGTAATTGCATTAAAAACATGGTACTGGTGAAATTTATTTTATAACTATATCTTTGTCGGTCCAATGTCTGAACTACCATTTCAATGTAATCATGATTACCAATATATTTTAGATTTTTTTGGCATTAAGTTTCAAGATACAAAGTGTATTATGTACACAATCGTTCGTAACTTGGACTCGCCACATTTTAGGTGGCTGGTGGTCACTGTACTGGACAGCATAGCCCAAGAGCAGTGAACAGATAGTATAGGCAGGTTTGGGGTTGCAGTGGGGAAGAGATGGACAATAAATACATAAAGATAACAGGTGCAGTCAAGAAAAGATAGATGAGTGACAATTACAAAGAAAATTGAATGGAATGAGAGGAAGGTGACTGGTCTGCTTTACTTTTTTTATTTTTAAATATATTACTTATTTTTAGAGCGAGCGAGGGAGGGAGAAAGAGAGGATGAAAAACAGATTGGTTGCTCCCTGCACACGCCCCAGCCTGGGACCTAACTCGAAATCCAGGTGTGTGCTCTGGATGGGAATTGAACCAGCAGCCTTTCACTTCCCAGGATGACACCCCACCAACTGGGCCACACTGGTCAGGACAGTACTAGGCCACTTCAGATAATGAGGACAGGAACTGTCCTGGGAAGGTGACAACAGCAAAGATCTGGGGACTGGCAGGCAGAGTTTTCCAGGCAGGTGGAACATCTAATGTAATGATCCGGAGACAGGACACACCACCTTGCTTCCTGCCAGCTGGAGTTAGAGCTTTCATTTCTGTGTTAGGGCACATCTCCTTTCCCAGGAGAGACCCATGATAAACATCTTTCCATTCAGCCTGTGTGTCCATGCACGTCCGGTGTGTAATTAGAAAACCCCAATGTTTTTCACCAAGAAGGGCCATGGCAGGTACAATCCCAGAGGAAGTCAGATCCTGTTGGCTGTTTTTTTAAGCCCTGCACTAATTATGGCTTTGTCTTCCAGCAGCCAAGTTTAGTTGGGGCCCAGACTCCCCTTCAGAATTTCCTTGGTTCTAGAAATGAAGAAGAGACAGGAGTCGCTGGGTTCTTTCTTCTTTTAGCTCCTGGATTCCTGAGCCTGAAATAGCAAGAGATTAAATACCCAAATCACAGAAATAGAGTGTGAAATCTGGGTATGGCTCCTGTTTAAGAAGTATTTCATGTGAAATGTTCCACATGGGCGTCATAATAGTTTAAGGGGCTTTGTTTCACTTAGAATAGAAGAGGTATACCATGTATATTTACTCAACAAATATTTACTGCCTGCCTGCTCTCTGCCAGGAACTCTGCTAGGAACTGAGGATAAACATACAAGGTCCCTGCTCCCATGGAGCCGACATCCTAGTTGGGGAAGATAGTGAATGATCAAATTAGTGATTATGCTGTAAAGAAAATAAAGTGAGGAGTTGTGAAGATTGGCTTGGGTGTCAACAAGGGGCTCTCTAAGGAGTTTTCATTTAAGCTGAGACCTGAATGAAGATAATGTACCAGCCATTGAGGGACATTCCTGGGGATGAGAATAGTTGGTGCAAAAGCCCTGAGATTGGAACTAATTGAACTCAGACAAGAGCTGAGAGAAGGCTAGTGTTCTAGAGCAGGGGAAGAGAGAGATAAGGCAGGGGCCAATTTCGGCAGGACTTTGAGCTCAGGGTGAGGAGTTTGGTTTTCTATTTTAGGAGTGATTGAAACTCATTCCTTTGAGGGGTGAGGAGAAGGGATGGTAAGGGCTAGAGCCGGAGCTAGAAGAGCAGTTAGAAGGCTGCTTAGTGAGAGATGGTGTTGCATAGATTAGAAAGAATGGTAGCCATGGAGATTAAAGGAAGTTAGGTTTGCCAGGTCTTTTGGAAACATTTGATAGAATTTACTAGTGGATTTGGATTAGGGGGTTAAGAAAAGAGAAATCAAGGATGCCCCCTTTTCATGTTGGGTGGAGGCTCCATGGTGTCCCAAGGATGGATGGATAGTGTGTATGTTGCAGAGGAAGTGAACCAAGGGTAAATATTGCCAGGACATAATGAAGAAATTTTCATCTGTGTCAACTGATGAAAATGTACCTCCAGATCAGTCTGTGTTATTTAATATCGTCCACATTCCAATCCTCAGCCTCAGCACTACTAACATTTTGGGCCAGAAAATTCTTCATGTGGGGGCTGACCTGTGCACTGTAGGATGTTTGCAGCATCCTGGCCTCCACCCATTAGATACCAGTAGGAACACCCTAGTTATGACAGCAAACATGTCTCTAGACAGTGCCATGTATCCCCAGGGGGCAAAATTACCCCCAGTGGAGAACCACTGGGCTACAGATTAGAGCTGTATCACCATAAGAAAATATCTAGAAATAACAAGAATGAAGAAACTGTTGCAGGATTGCTGCATAACATTAGGAGACCTGTTTTGGATTTAACATATAAAGTAAAATATTCTTACCATGCAAATATTCATATGCAGAGGAATATACTTCGACAAATAATAATGTAAATGAAAGGATCACATGTGCAAACACATTTCTAGGAGGAATTACTGGGGCCTATACAAATGCCAGTTTAGACCTATGTGTTTTTAAATTTTTTATTGATTTGAGAGAGGGGAGCATCAATTTGTTGTTCCACTAATTCATGCATTCATTGGTTGATTCTGGTATGTGCCCTGACCTTGGTGTATCAGGTTGATGGTCTGACTGACTGAGTAACCTGGCCAGGGCTAGACCTAATATTTTAAAACCTAGATTTGCAAGTAGGGAATCAGGGGATGAATATAAAGGAAACTTCCTTAAATAGCAAAGCCACCAAAGGCTTGATATAATTTATAAAAATTCCTTTTAAAGGCAGCATTTTCAGCAACACACTTATTTTATAAAACAAGGTATACTCATGTATTTTCCCACAGTGCATATACCAGAAAATATTATATGTACATATATAAATATTATATACATATATGCACATCTATATGCATCTTTACCATCTGTTTATTGAATCCAAGATATGCCTCATATATGCCATATGTATCACTGAGAAAAAAGTAGTACTGCCTGTTTAACTATGAAAGTCATCACATGTAAGACACATCCCGATTTCTAAGAGGTTACAGTGTGAGAAGATAGCCCTGGCCGGGTAGCTCAGTTGGTTAGAGGATTGTCCTCAATACACCAAGGTTGTAGGTTCGATCCTTGGTCAGAGTACATACAAGAAGCAACCAGTGAATGTATAAGTAAGTAGAACAACAAATCAATGTTTTTTTTCTCTTTCCTCCTTTCTCCCTCTAAAATCAGCAAATAATTTTTTTTAATGTGAGAAGACTCAAAGATGTGTCCTCATCTTTGAGGACAAAATATATGTAATATGGACTGTTTAAATTAGTATCTATCTGGTAACAGCTATAAAAGGGTCAAACTATTAAAGTGGAACATACGCATCAGGAAGTGATGACCTCATTGAGGATGGAAGCCAGTTTTTATATTAGTATGTATCACAGTCATAGTGGTCAAAAAATTAATTCTAAAGGCCTTTTAACTTAGGGGCTTCATCAGCCATTGAGAACCTTCATTGGAGTAGAGAATTTAACCAGGGAGCTGCCCTTTGGTGGATGAAGAAGCATCAATCCAGCAGCTACTCTTCACTAGGTGCTGTGTTAGGCCCAACAGATACAAACACTAAGTCCTCTTGGTGATTTTGAACGAGGGTGTTTACATTCTGGTGCAGGGTTGGGGGGGAGGCAGCAGAGGGAAATGGGTTGCTACAGGAGAGAATGAAATAAGCAGGGTGGGACTTATTTCCACTCTGATTGTGTGAGATCAGGGTACACTTTTCAGTTGCTAATCCAGATGGGATTCTCATAGGCAGAAAATGAGTCCAGGTGTGAATGAGAAGGAGCTATTCCGGGCTGACTCTTGTGTGGCCAGAGTGCAGTGTTCAGGGAGCTGTAATGACTGCGGGAGCCCATGGTGTGAGGTGGAAGCCCAGGCTCAGCTGCCTTTGTGTAGGCAGGTGGTGCAGGTTTGAAAGAAGTGGGGGGACATGCGGTGTGTGTTTTAGCCAGGGGCGGGGGGGGGGGGGGGTGGATACCTGGGGGCAGGAGTCTTGTAAAACATCTGAGCAAGATGGGTTGAAGGTTTAAATGAGAACTCAGGGGAGATGGAAGTGGGAGGCCATATTAAGAGGTCTCGGTGAGAGGAAACAGGGCAAGTTCTGAACATTATTATTTTAGACTCGATGATGGGGCGTTGATGGGGAGTGTGAGTTTCAGGTAATACCCCCTTATTTTTTTTGAAACCTGTTTCCCAGTAGCAGGTTGTTTTGAGGAAAATTTAAATACATTTGAAAGCCTCCTAATCTGTACCATCTAACACATCCTTGCTGGTCTGGTCCTGATCTTGTCCTCTCTCTTTTCTTCCCCTTCAGGCATTCATAGGAAAATGAGGCCTCCATTTACTGGCTTTACCCTTCCAAAGGTTACTCTGAGTCATGGTTAACCAATAGAGGGGAGTGCCAGAACTGACTAACCAGGGTGAAATGTGGCCTGTGGCTACTTTTATTGCCTCAGGTCACTTAAATGACCATTCCCTCCCAGAATCCATAGTGTCACACTTTGCCGTGGGGAGACAGTGGCTTTCCTGTGTCTAAGTCAGGGAGGTGGAGAGGGAACTGAGGGTGCTTGTTTGAAGCATGATGTCTCATGTCCCAGAGGAACCACTGCTGCTGGCTGAACTCAAGCCCGGGCGCCCCCACCAGTTTGATTGGAAGTCGAGCTGTGAAACCTGGAGTGTCGCCTTCTCCCCAGATGGCTCCTGGTTTGCTTGGTCTCAAGGACACTGCATTGTCAAGCTGATCCCCTGGCCGCTGGAGGAGCAGTTGTAAGTACTCTGGAACCCAAAGGAACAAGGGAGTCCTCGTGATGAGGAAAATGAGCACTTGCCCAGATTGCTTCTATTCTTTGGGGTCTTCTTGCCCAAGAACAGGAGGGGAAAGATGGCAGAACAGTTCAGAAATTGATCGTTGGGGTTTCTAGAGCCTTACACACTGTACGTGTGAAAAATCTATTGAGATTGTTAGCCCCAAGTTTTTAAAAGTAGATTTATTGAGATATAATTTACACACCATACAATTTGCCCATTGAAAGTGCATCTGTCACCATGATTAATCTTAGAACATTTCCATTATCCACGAAAGATACCCCACATCCCTAAGCTGGTGCCCTACAAACCCCTCTATTCTCCAGACCTGAACAGCCACCAAACTATTTTCTGTCGTTAAAGATTTGCCTATTCTGAACATTTCATAATAAATCATATAATATGTGGTCTTTGGCTTGTTCATTTAACATGTTTTCCCAGTTATCTGTGTTGATGCCTGTATCGATACTTTATTTCCTTTTTTTGCCAAATATATTCCATGGTATGGAGATACCACATTTTGTCTACACATTTATCAGTTGGTGGACATTTGGGTTTTCACCTTTGGCTGTTATGAATAATGCTGCTTTGAACATTTATATACAGTTTTTGTTTGTACATATGATTTCATGTTTTCTGTATTTCACTTTCTGAGGAGCTATCAGATTTTCCAAAGTGGCTGTACCATTTTACAATCCCACCAGCAATGTGTGAGTTTTTCAAATTCTTCACACCCTCATCAACACTTGTTATTGTCAGTGTTTTTGATTATAGCAGAGCCATCCTAATTGGTGTGAAGTGGCATCTTATTGCAAATGGTTTTGATTTGCATTTCCTTGATGGCTACTGATGTTGAGCACCTTTTCATGTGCTTATTGGCCCTTAGTATATCTGCTTTGGAGAATGGTCTATTCAGATCCTTTGTCCATTTTAAAATTGGGTATTTATCTTTCTATTTTCTACCACAGTTTAGTTTCTGATATTTTTCTTTGGGTCCATGAGTCTCAGTGTCTGAATGCTGTGAGCCCCCAGTCAGATGGCCCAGCCTCTGCCTGTTTTCCTTCTCCCAGGAAGGAAATCTACTATTCAGCCAACATTTGTTGCAAACCTTCCTTGCCTGAAACTGAGCTGGGAGGCTGAGAATGCTAAATAAATCAAACACGGCCCTGCCCTTGAGGGTTTCATTCACTTTGCTTTAGGCATTTCTTATAAATTGCGTATTAGATTTAACTTTTTTATAAGTTTAGTCTGAAATTTGTTGCCCTGATAATAGGCAGTGCCGATGAGAGTTTGCTGTGATGGGTGGTGCTCTGCACACTGCTGGGGTTGAGGGGTATAGATTTGTGCACTTTCTGGAAGGAAGGCTGTTTGGCAGTAGGCGTCAGAGACCTTAAAAATATTCTACAGTGATTTGGAATCTCAGAAATGGGGTCATCTGTTTACATATACTGATTGTCATCATGAAATTAATTATATAGTAGTTAAAAATGAGAAGTGGCTTCAAATCTAGTGATAAGAGAATGGTTAAGGACATTGTGGCATTTTCATGTTTTTGCAGCTATCAAAGATTGGGTCTTCTGTTTGTTTTTTAATCATGATTTTCAGTTCTCTCCAGGGTGATTTTAATGATAATGTGAAGGTCATTCATTATTCCCACTCTAAATAAAAAGGACTTCACATCCACACTTAAGTCTGATATTAAAATTTTTTTAAGCATAAAAGAAAAACCTGTTGTTTTTATTTTATGTAGTCCTCACATATTAATGTTAATTGCCTTATTTGCAAAATGTTTTCACATTTGTTATTTTTATCATTTAAAATAAATTTTAAAGTCCTTTAAAAGGGGTGGAAGACTATACCTTCAGGTATATCATTTCTATAGTTCACTGAAAAGAGGGGGAGTCTGGGACAGTTATGTTCTTAGGATTGTTACACATTTTTAAAAATCATATGTGCTTTTGATAATGAGCAAATAAGTGGTATTAACTAAATAATTATCCTACTTTTAGAAATAATATTTTTAGAAACTTAAGTTTGAGTGAAGTTCTCCTAATGAATCTCCCTTGCCCTTCAGTTATCCCTTCCCAAGCCCCCACCAGCTTATCCCCTGATTCACTGACAAGCTCAGGAGCCTGGGCCTTCTGAGCAGTGGGCTGGGTGCCCGAGACTCATGCTGTAATGCCAGATCTTCCCCTGATTCCATGACCGCAGGAAAGTTAACTCTCCACCCCTAAATGGAGACTTCAGTATCTCTTCCTAGAGAAATTAAATTATGATATTAAAATGATTTAACGTATAAGTGTGCCTTAATTTCTTTGGAATAAAATAGCTACAAGATATCTCTTAATTCAAATACAGAAATTTGGATTTTATTAAAAAACAATGTAACCTTGCAAGTTCCAAGCTGTCCTACAAACCTTTTCCCGTCATCTGCCTTTTATGTGCTTCTTCCCTGGACGGCAAACTCAGGCCCCTGTCCCAGCGCCAGGCAGCTCTGCAACATGTGTGGGGCCGTGTTGGGTTGAGCAGGCCCCATCAAAAGACGTTCATTATCACATCCAGATGTTTTGTCACAATAACAAAATTTCAGTCTGCATTTGGCCTAAATGACCAGAGGTCAGCAATTTTTTCCTTTAAAGGTTCAGGCAATAGATATTTTTGGTTTTGCCAGCCATGGGTCTCTGTGAAGACTACTCACCTCTGTTGTTATAGCATCACAGCACCTACAGGTAATAAGTGAACAAATGAGCGTGGTGGCATTCCATTAAAACTTCATTGATAATAACAGGCTGCTGGCCTAGGCACTGTTTGCCAAACTCTTATTTAGAGTAATAGAGTTTCAGAGCTGAAGGAGGTTATACTTGCTTCAGTTCCTTCTAATTTTACAGGTGAACGTGATTCAATTTTTAAAATATATTTCAACCATACAAGTGGCAAAATATGATTTATTTACTTTTGAGGAAAACTAATCCATAAGGAGGTCCAGCTATATATTCCTCAGTATAGGATTTCCCATGGAACTGAGTTCCAGTGTTATAGTCTTCCTTTCCTCCAGAAAAGTGTGGCTTCATATTTGTACTGGGAAAGTGGAGCCCAGACAGGAGACTTGCAGGTTTTCTGGCTGAACCTCATCCTGTCGCACTGCCTGTCTTTGAGAGACTGTCTGCAAGACGGAGTGGTGGAAAGGGTCTGTGTCTTAGGGACAGTGTCTCATTTAGCTTATCTGGGCCTATGTTTCACTTTGAGTAGAATGTAAATGAGAGGGTCAGATTATTCAGTGCACCCCTGAATAGTTCTGTGGGTTCCTTCTCTCTGTTGACTGTCCTGCTGGTTGGTTCCTATGCTGGATATACCATCAGGGAAGTAAGTGATAGAGCCTCATTAATAGATTGGAACTTAGTGAGTGAAGGGGGAAATCATTGTGTACCAACCAAAGTGTGTTGGCAAGAAAAGGGTTTATTTTCTTGCTTTTCAGAAGTTTCCTAACTAGAGAAGGGGTTCTTCTCATCAGGCAGGAGAGCTGCAGATGGATATTCAGGCTCTCGGTTCTGTCCTAGTTTCACCTCCAGTGCGCTTTCTTTCTCGTGGGAAAAAACTGAGTGCATCTTTCCTTCCACACTCTGGAGCCCAAGAAAACTTTCTGAGGAAGCCTATGGCTCCCTGGAGCATCTGTGATCTAGTTAATCCCACCAGGCAGGTCACCCCATTGCAGGGTTTTCCTAAATGCAGTGAGCCAAGACCAAGAAGCCTCTGTTACACGAATTCTAAAAAGAAAATCATACCAGAATTCATGGAAGGCCAGTTTGTTTCTTGGACTTTAAAGTCTTAAGATAACCAGGATGAAAAGTTGGTTAACTTGGTGACAATTTCAGACTCACTGAGAACTCTCTACTTCCCACAGCATCCCTAAAGGGTTTGAAGCCAAAAGCCGAAGCAGCAAAAATGATACAAAAGGGCGAGGCAGCCCAAAGGAGAAGACTCTGGACTGTGGGCAGATTGTCTGGGGTTTGGCCTTTAGCCCGTGGCCTTCTCCACCCAGTAGGAAGCCCTGGGCACGCCACCCTCCTCAAGTACCAGACGTGTCTTGCCTGATCCTTGCTACAGGACTCAACGATGGGCAGATCAAGATTTGGGAGGTGCAGACAGGTAGGTCATTTCTGGCTGGTACAAGTCCTGGAGGCTTGTGTGCATGTTCTTATCAGGAGCTGAGGGGTATGTAGCTGTGACTGGCAGACCAAGTGCCGTCTCACCCACTGACTTGAGTGCTCTTGTTTTCACTCCAGGGCTCCTGCTTTTAAATCTTTCCGGCCACCAAGATGTTGTGAGAGATCTGAGCTTCACACCTAGTGGCAGTTTGATTTTGGTCTCTGCATCTCGGGATAAGACTCTTCGAATTTGGGACTTGAATAAACATGGTATGGAACTCCTGAGAAGCTTGTCCCTTTCTTTACCAATGCCGTTTTTATCAAGAGTATTATTTCTCAGTCTTTTTTTCTGTTCTGCTTTAGGAGCTTTTCAGACATTTTTTCCTAATCCCCCTCACCCTTTGAAGATTTTAATACTTTATATCTAATCAGGTAATGAATGTATATTTATGCTTTGTATATTTAAATAAAGTAAGATTATTTTTTACTAATAGAATCAATTTTTGTCACTATAGATATTTTCTCCATTGAAAATACGTGATGTAGAATACCTTCACTCACCATGGCACTATTGACGTTTTGGGCTAGACAGTTCTTTGTCATGGGCTGTCCTGTGCAGTCTAGGAGGTTGAGTGTCATCCCTGGCCTCTACCCTCTAGATGCCAGTTAGCACCCTCTAGGTTGTGACAACCAAAAATGTCTCCAGACAGTGCCAGTGTCCACGTGGAGGGTAAAGTCTCCCCAGCTGAAGAACCCTGACCTAGAATAAGTCATCCATGTTGGGTACTTACTATTAGAGATAAAGTTTCTTTTTGAAGTAGAATGTGGGTCTAGAAGAGTTCTCTTGGCTTAGAGGGGGTCAGCTTTTATGGAATTCTGCCTTGAGCAGCATTAGATATGGGACTGGCCCAGTGAAGGATCCCACACGTCTCTGGTATTGATCCTTAACTGGAAGGATGACATAGAGAAGGGAACTTTTTACAGGCCATTTGTCCCCCCAACATGGGTGGGGATGCAGGGTCTGGAGGGAGATGGAAGGAGGAAATGGTGGTGTGGGCAGTTCATGAAGAGACACACTCATCCCTGATAATGCAGAGGCACTGGTACTCTTGCCTGAGTCATGACTGTTTCCCAAACTGTGAGAGGGGCTACCTCTTTCCCCCTTAGAAATGGGCCTGATAATTTGTTAGAACAACTAAGGAGACGGTGCTGGTAGTTTCCTCGTCTGAAGGCGTCTAACCACTAAGAGAAGTTGGTATAGTTTCTGCCCATTGCTGTGGAACTTGTGGTCATACTGTCCCTGCTGACTGGGACAGGCTGTTCAAGGGCAGTGCCACTTTTAATATGTGTCTGGAAGCAGCTTGCCACCTTCTGAGGAAGGTCCTTGAAGTGGCTTTGAAAATCAGTTGGTGGTTGGGAAGCTGAGGGTGACTTGAGACTGGGCAGGATGGACTAGACCAATTATTCGGGCTTTTCAAAGAGAGTGGAGTATAGTGTTCCCAGGCCCTGGGCGATGTTCCTATTTGATAGCTGAAGATAGCTGACTTAAAAAATTAATATTTATCCACACATACCCCTAAATTTATAGGTGCGTATAAATGACCGTATACGTTCTTTAAAATGTTTTCCTTTTCCTCTTATTTTGGCTTGATTCCTCCTCCGACCCCCCCGACCCCCCTTCTTCACCGTCTTTCTCATTCTCCCTTGCATTGAATTCCTCCATAATCTCCCTGTCATCTTATAGCCCATGCTAAGAATCATCCACATTTATTTCCATATTTTGCTTATACTTGCCTAATCTATGTGGACGTTCACGCTCTTACATTTATGGGTTTGGGGGTCATTGTTCCACAAGAATGGAGTCATAGTCTTCATATTTTTTCTGAATCTTCTTGTTTTCTTTCATTGAAGATTACTCCTTGGAAAATCTAGATTCTTAATTTCATCTGAATTGATGGGGTGGATATACTTGTTGCATCTTTTATTCACTCATTTCCCCATTGATAGGCATTTTGTTTTTTCCAAAAACTAATACCCAGAGAGATTACATGAGTGACCCAGGGTTATGTCTTATTTGAAGAGTAGAGCCAGGGTTCATATCCAAGTTAGCTGACTCTAGAGACGTGGCCCTCATAACCACACCATTGCTCACAGACACCCTGATGAGGGGTGGGGAGGTGAGGGTGTGGAGTGAGATCCTTCCGATTGTGGAAACCATTATAGAGAGAATTGAAGATAAGCACTCTCTCATATTTGGAAGGATGTTTCAAAGTACTTGAGGTGGTTGGGGGAACCTGAAAAAAAAAGTTCTCTGCTATCAAAGGGATGTATCAGACCTGATCTATATACTTCCTTTATCCTGATGATCTTGCCAAGTTTGGTGAAACAGTAGGTAGTGATTTCCCTTGGGGGTCAGAATGTTTTATTAATAGATTTCAGGTGTCAAAATGACAAGTTCTGTCATATTTCTTTCTCTGCCTTGAAAAGTGGGGGTTGGGACTCAGTTGATAGAGAACTAGGTGGATATACCAGGTGGGTGGGCCATCACTACCAGTTTTTCAGTCTTCCTGCTTTGTGGTTTTGAGACAGCTCACTGTCTGCTCCTGTTCTCTGCCAGGTAAACAGATTCAGGTGTTATCGGGCCACCTGCAGTGGGTTTACTGCTGTTCCATCTCTCCGGACTGCAGCATGCTTTGCTCTGCAGCTGGAGAAAAATCGGTAAGTCTCATACATCGGGTACCATTTCCTGTATTGCTTTAGTCCAGCAAGACCTGGAGATCTGGAGCAGCCTTGCGTGTGAGGGGGGTAAATAAGCCAGATATCCTCCAAACCTACCTGCAAATCACCCCCAACAGAAGGCATGCTGGTGGGCCATGACTTCCTCCAGCATACCTCCCTTTTGATTTACACTTTGATACGAACCAAAAAAGGAGGTGTTTAAGTAGATTGCTGCCACTATCAGAGTCCTGTTTGTCTTTACAAATGATAAAGGGGTGCTCTTAAAATTTCTTTTCCCATTTTAAACGTTGCGGCCCACATAGGGACCCAGATTTCCTCTGAACCATATAATTTGTGTCTACCTAGTTAGGATTTCCATTTCAGATCATAAAATGTACAGCTACTTGTTGAACTTCGTCCTAAAATCCTCTTTGTTATTTTAAAAAGTATTAGAAACCAAAGAACAGTTTGGGAACTTTCGTTTGAATTTTGTATCTGCATGGAGCTGTTTTGCTGTGACTGACTTGGGAAGGAATTCACTATTTGGTACAGCCCAGGTAGTTAATCATTCATTTGAAGTTTGGAACTATGTGAAAGTGAGAGTTTTCTTATAGAAAAGAAAATAAAATTCTATTTTCTATGATTCTCAAAAAGGTTTAAAGTGATGAGCTATGTCAGATGTACAGTAGTGGGCAGATTTCCATGGTCCTGTAAACACGGGGGCATAAAATGGCATGGCAGAGTGCCACCACTTTGTTGGTAGCCCTGGAGTTCACTCTTCTGACCCCTGTGTGTGGTTTTAAATGAAAGGACAAGATTGCCCTGTGTGTAGGTCTTCATTCGCACAACTGCATGTTTGCAAGCAGAACTCAGAAGTCTCTGCTGATACGTGTTAGCTGGCAGTCTTGCTGTGATTGGTCCTGTTTATTCTTCCTTAAAGTAAACTCCTTGAGTCTGTCCATTGGTTAGGTGCCTCAAGAATTCAGAACTGTTACTTTTTTTTTTTAAGCCTGTGTAATATGTCTTAGAAGAGCTGTAGAGAAAAGGGGTGGAGAACTTGGCTTCATCCGGCCATGGGGCCTGAGGTGGGCATTGCCTTTCACTCACTATTTGCCTTCTGAGCATTTTGTTTCCACCCCTAACCAGGCATCTGTTACTTTCCACAGGTGTTTCTATGGAGCATGCGGTCCTACACATTAATCCGGAAGCTAGAGGGCCATGAAAGTAGTGTTGTCTCTTGTGACTTCTCGCCTGACTCTGCTTTGCTTGTCACGGCTTCTTATGATACCAACGTGATTATGTGGGATCCTTACACTGGCGAGAGGCTACGGTCACTCCAGTAAGGACCGAATCCCTGCTTATGACTTCCTCGTGGGGTCACTGTGAGAAACCTGTGTTGGATTAGACATGTCCTCTTCAGAGTCTGGAGCATGAGAGGGGGCAACTTGGGTAAAAGACACAATGGATTCAGTGCTTATTCTAAGTCTGGCATACTGTAGTTTTCCCTGTCAATTAAGTTCTTAAATTAGACTCAAGAGCCTTCAACTCTCCTGGCATATGAGACTACCTCTTTGGATTCAGCATTCAGAAACCTGAAAGTGACTCTTTTTTTCCATTTACTAATAACTGTAGTAACAAGTTCAGAATGATCCTCTTATCGAAACTGCTCTTTCCCAAAATGACTTTTCATGTTCTCACAAATGTGTATTTTTTCTTTTATATCTGTTGTTTTATGAAGCAAATAATAGGTAGTCCTATAATTATCATGTTTCTTAGCCTAAAAAAGACTTTCCGTTTGTACTGTGGCCTTTAAGTGAGGGCTGACCTACTTTGCATAAGGAAACCAGTGCAAGGAGTGTCGGAGCCCTTTGGCCCACTCCACGAGACACTTGGAGCCTTAGGAAGTGTACTTCTTCCCAGTCGTCTTCTCTAATCTGTAAGCCCCAAGGGTTCCCCATGGGGTACAAGATGCGTCTGGAGCCTTTTCATAGGCAGGTATTTGGCCCCCTGCCTGGGGATGATCATAAAGGGTGAAGGGGGGGTCATCCCTCCAGGCGCACTGTCCTATTTCTCCTCAGCCACAGCCAGCTTGAACCCGCGATGGATGACAGTGATGTCCACATTAGCTCCCTGAGATCTGTGTGCTTCTCTCCTGAAGGCTTGTACCTTGCCACTGTGGCAGATGACAGGTAACATGATTCTTTTACGTGTCATCAGAGCAGGTGCCTCCAATTAATTGTAGCATTTCCCTAAGGGTCTGGCCCCAGGTTTGCTAATGCACGAACATACTTTTCTCTCTCAACCAGACTCCTCAGGATCTGGGCTCTAGAAATGAAAACTCCGATTGCATTTGCTCCTATGACCAATGGTCTTTGCTGCACATTTTTCCCACATGGTGGAGTTATTGCCACAGGGTATGTATCTGTTAGCTGAACAGATGGGCAGCAATTTCTGCTGAGTATACCATGTAGCTTTTTAAGGAAAGAAAGCATTTAGAATTTTCTTGCCTGCGAGGAAGGCTCTAAGGAAATCCAGGATTACATAAAATTCTGTTCTGCAGATATAGGTTATCATTTATTCTTAACAGTTAATCTAAATGTAATTAAAGAGTTCCAACTCATGACAACTAATGGAATGAGCATGCAAGGAAGCATACATTAAGATGATGCAGAATTCATATGGAAACTATTAATGGCAGAGACCACCTTTTGGGGACCATCTATAATTCAGTAGGTGGTATTCTTCCCTCTTACTTTAGAACTCTTAGTATGTTTAGAATGGGCTGTACTGATACAGAGAGCACTTTGGTAACAAAGGTGTTTGGAGTTCTTAGAACCCTCTTAGCAGGCTTAATTATTCATTACCACCACTTTTACATCTATTTCAACTGTCAGGGTTACAGGATTATTTCCCTCTCTGGAGTCTCCTACTAGTGCAAGTCAGAGTAGAAACATTAATATCCATCAAAATGAAGACATATTTCCAAGGTCTGTCTTAATGTATTGGTTTGTTTTATTTCAGGACAAGGGATGGTCACGTCCAGTTCTGGACAGCTCCTAGGGTCCTGTCATCACTGAAGCACTTATGCCGGAAAGCCCTTCGAAGTTTTCTCACAACCTACCAAGTGCTAGCACTGCCAATCCCCAAGAAAATGAAAGAGTTCCTCACGTACAGGACTTTTTAAGCAACGCTACATCATCTTGTTTTCTCTGTAGCAGGATAAATCTCCCTGGCAAAGGAGTAGCTGGAATAATGGGCCAAACGTCTAGTCTTGGGTTGAAATAGAATTTCCCTTTGGGATTGCAGATAGAATGTAGCAAAACCAGATGCCAGTGGACGAGTCATGGATCTTTTTCCCCACCACACATGAAAGTCAGACATGGAGGAAGGATTCCACTTCCGTGGCCACAGAGCTTTATCTTCAATCTTCAGTCCACTTACTAACAATTTTGAACTCATTCTAGTAGTTTTGATTCAAAATATAGTTATTGATGTTTTGGTGAGAAGAGTTGACTAGGCCTCAACAGCCTCGAGAGCCCCTCTCTAGTGGCAGAGGGTTTAAACTCCCTCTACTGGGACATGTGGCTTCTGCCTGGTTCCTGTGTTTCACATGCAGCAGTGGCACTGTTTCAAGTTCTCTCCTGTTGGAGTTGCTTTGTTGTTGGCAAGTCTTTCTTCCTCTAGCTCCCCTCTGACTAGTGGGACAGTTTCCCTGGAGCAGTCTCTGGTGTGAGGTAGTAACTTAGCTTCACTAAATTACAGATGACTCAGAGGCTGTGCCCCTGACTGATACAGACACTATAATTGGCTCTTTTTTTTAACAGTGGTGTGCATGTGCAGATGACAAATTTATATGTTTATATGCCAGGATACACAAGAATTTATTTCTAAATTGCATGACTGTTCAGATGGCTGAGTTGTCAGTTGTTTGCCTTCATTAGCATATTTATTTGTATTTTCTCAACAGATGTTAAGGTACAACTGTGTTTTTCTTGATGGTATCTGAAAACCATAGTACTTAAGTCGAACAGTTGTGAAGAATGTCTCCTTAATTGTGTAAAGAATTGGAGGTGTCATCACTTCACCTGATCTTCTCATGTATGAGGTCTGACTTTGCTGCTTCACCTCATTGGACTAACGAGCCAGTTTCAGTTCTATCCGTAAACAAACACAGCTCTTTACAAGTACTGTTCTCCTTCAGTGAAGTATAGTTATCTAATCAAGACACCTCATTCAAGCAAAATCTGCCTTTGGAAAATTTTAATATATTTTAAATTATTTTAAAAGAAATGCAACATCTTATCCTTTGGCTTTCTTAATAGGTGCTTTATGGAGGCCAGTGTAACAAAATGTGTTGAAAAAGTAGGAGTCTCTACTGCCTTTGTTGCTGAAGAAAAACATTTCTTTTCAAGATGAGAAACTTTCATTGAAGGAAAAAGTTAAAAAGCTTTTGGCTCTCCGTTTCATTTTTTCCATTAAGAAAAAAAAATCACCTTTAAAACAAGTGAGTACAACAGGACAGCTGGGAATGCATTGGGCAAGTTTTTCATTTTGTGGTTATCTTGAAAAATCAGCGAATAGTCGTGGGGGTGGGGTGCTCTGGGAGGCTTCCTTAAGGCCCTGCTTAGCCATTAGCTTCAAACTTGGCCGGCGTCCTTGGGGAGCGAGTCCTACATGTATGATGGAAATAACCAACTTCTCCTTTCTGATAGTGTCAGAATTTGACACCTTTACAAAGAACAGTCTTCAGAGTTTTATTGTGTGATATCAGTGATGGAGGTTTTCATATAGATGCAAGTTGAGTAAGTCAGTGTTTATAACTAAGGAAGGAAGATCACTTGTAACACAGCCAACAAGAAAGCTACTTTATTTCCATTATGAGGCATGATGTAAATGCAGCATGACTGCTGAAAAAATGCTACTGTTTGTGCACAGGTCCTCATCCCTCTGACAGGTGCAGGCTTAATCTCACATGCCCTCTGCACTAAATACACATGAGTGTTGTGCAACTTCTGGCCACTAATGGCATAAATTGGAAGTTTACTGTCCCCTCACAGTGAGGAACCTGCTACTAACTCCTCTCCTTCAAGAGGAGAAATAAAGACCAGTTTTCAAAGTATGAGAATTGAGTTTATTTTATAACAGTTTTGGCCAGAAATCTGTTAACATCTACCCTAAAAAGAGATACATGGACAAGGTCACAGATTATACTTGATTTTGGAGATGTTCTGTTTATCTTGAGTTGGAAGACGTAGACCATATAGACTTGAAAGCTTTAGTGTCCGAAATAAAATGAGGTAGGCTAACTTCCTGTCATCCAAGCAACAAAAGAGAAAAAGCCTGAAGGTTGAAATAAAGGTGTTTGCTTTTTTTTCTTCCTACAAAACACAAGTGGGCAGTGCAATAAGACAGCTGTGTGTTAAAATTTTTTGTACATCTCTGCTTCAGACAGCCACAAACAAGGTACTTTATGTAAGTCTGACCCCACATGGCAGTTCATCCCATAACCAAGTCTCCTGTTCTCTAGTCACTGCTGGGCCTCAGAATTGTAGCAAATGATCTTATGTCAGCATCTAGGCCTCTGTGACAATCAGGTCTCTGGTGACTTGAAAAGCTGCAATGAGGGAACTCAGCTGAATCTTCTCATTGGTGCCAACAGAAAGTCTGTACCTAAAAGAAATCAAAAGGTAAGAATAGAGAGTATCAGACAGTACCACTTTGACAAGAGAACAAAAGACTGAAAATCTGAAGGAGGATAGGAGGCAATAAAAATTTATCCTCGACATCAATCTTATATGTGTCCCTTAACATTTTCTTCTCTGTCCTAAACACTTCCTCTTATTTCACTGGGAAGTTTGGTTAATTTATCTGGTTCTGTGGTGTAGTCATAAAGCAGGACTCTGCCGTTTGTCTTTTGACCTTTTAAGTGATTCAGCCATTAAAAGCAGAATCACAATATTCATAATATAGTGATAAGAAGTCACCTAATTTGTGTATCTGAAAGCCAATGAGGGCAAATTAAAGTTGGTCTATTTTGACAGTCTTATTTTGAACCCAAGGCTTTTGCCTACTTAAATGCCAGCCACCAGCTTCACTGGGGGCTAATAACTGTTCACTGAACCAGCCAAAGTAGAAAGTTGAGTTTACTTTTTCCTCTAATAAACTTGAGTGTGCCATGCCAAAACGCCTTAACAGCTGGTAGCAGACTGTTCCCCAGAGACCTAGAGGTCTGAACTGAAGCATGCCTCCCAAATGACAAAAGCATTTCCAGAACCAATGTGGACCAAGCCATTGAAGTCTTAAGTGAAATATGTAATTTGAGTTATACCTGTCCTTGTGTTTATTCATGTTCTTTAAGCATCTCACACCTTTCCCCAAGTTTCATTCATTAATCCCACCAAAAACTAGATTGTACTACTATATAGGAATGATTAAGACAAAAAATTAGAAACCAACCACAACGCAGAAAAAAGGAAGAAAATAATTAAAATTGGGAAATAAGTACTCACTCAATTTCTGCCATTTTGGTCAATAAATGTATTCGAACTGAAGATGGAAAGTCAACTGGGGGAAAAACAAAATCAAATGAATGAGGTCTGTCACTCCCTACTATTAAAAAAATACACCAACCCCCCACCCCAACAGGGCAAGTATGAGTTTAAAAATCAGATGGATAACACTTTGTTTGCAGCCTCAGATGACTAGATATCACACCTCTAAGGAAGTAAAAATTGGATAGGTTTTTGGTTTTTTTATCCATTAATTTTGTGAGTCTTTACAGTGTAGCCAAAAACAAACAAAAAAACACCCCCCAAAAAACAACCACACCCCAAACCAGATTCCAAAGTGATCCTAAGAACATGGAAGAATCTTCAACACTGCTCTTTTAGCAACTGGGTAGCCATGTAAGTTAATGTAAAAGTTGTCCCAATTTTAAAAATTATTGATTTCTAAGTCATTTTATGCTCAGCTTTCACAATCAAAGTGCAGAACTGGGCTTGAGCCAACCAACCATGTTCTTAAGCAGAAGTTCACAAACTAGCCAGAGGCCTATAAAGGCACCAGCAAAACCACATTCACGGACCCAACTGTCTGTGCGGTTGACTTGTGGAAGAAAGAGCTTCTCCAAAATGCTGCACAACAGATCACCTGGAAAACTTGAAAAATACTGATGCCCAGTTCTCCCTGAAAAAGCCAACTGAAGTGGTCTGGGAGGTGGTGCCTATGTGCTGCCAGGACTTGCAAACCAAGTCTCTGTATAAAAGATAATGACCTAATGTGGAACTTCAGATGGTTTAGTTAAGACTGCTTTCGCTTACATGAAGATAGATCTTCCCCCCTTTTGGGGGAAAATAATTTTAGAATATGAATTAAAATATACTACTTGTGGCTGTAAAATATGGACCCTTGAAGGAATTAGCCTTCAGGACTTATCACCCTCTCCCCAGCAGTTCTCAGGGTTCAGAGAATTTTTGGAATGAAGTGTTAAATAACAAGACAGAACTAAAAATGAATTAGGTTTATACTTCATTCCTGTTTCTTTACTTCAAAAATGAAACCTCAAGTTCCCTCTAACCACCCTTAACCACAAAGCACCTTCCCTGCAGTTTCTCAACTAGGGAATAATATAGGTTACCTCTGTGCACAAACAAGTGTATCTCTGTCAGGATATCATGTAATGCCAACCCCTTCAGAGTTTTCAACTCCATGATATCTGCAGAGAGGTTAAGGCAAAGGGAACAAGTTCTAGAACAAACCACACTACAGAGAATCTGAATCCTAACCCTGGTGAGTGACTTCAGAAGTAGGGTCTCTAACCTCAGCAGTTGTTTCTTTCAGTCTGAAACTGCACATGTAGAACCCCAATTCTTGTTTTCATCTTCAATAAGATCTTTCTAAAAGAGCTGTATCTCTAGTAGAGAACAGAATGAAATGCATTTCCCAGAAGGCTTTATATCAGTACACCTCGCTTATAATCTCTCAGCAAAACGAGTTACAGGGACTACAGGAAAAAGACTGCATCTCTTCCATCTGTGAGTAAAGTGCCCTCAAGTTGTTCCTAGGTCAGAACCCTTCAGGAATAATTCTGGGGCATTAAAGACAAGTATCCACTCCACCCACAGCCACTTTACTCCTACAGCAAGCTGACCACAGTCACACACATCTGTTTTGCCAGTAGGGTGTAGGGGCTAGCTGTAGCTCCTGGGGTTATGTTCATGCCTTGGGCACTTAAAGCACTGTTGGCAGGACACGGGGAAAGGATACTTCTGTAGGCTGTGGTGAAGTCTTGATTCAACATCCAGTCCAGAATGTTGGCAATGTCTGACTTGAGTGGGTGCCCTGTGCAGGTGTAGACAGTCTCCTCTGTCACTTTCCCAAAGGCCATGTTGGTGCTCTGTGCAAACGGAGAGAATCACAGTGGCAGTCACAGCACCTGTCAAGTTGCAGGCAGGTCAGGAGGAAACTGCTGAGGTGACAGTGCAGGCAGACAGCAGCATTACAAGGGTACAGAAGAGCTTGAACCCTCTCTATATATGCCGGAATGAGTTGGCCTCATCAGAAGATGCTGCTGTCTGTTGGCATGTTACAGCTGTCGAATCCTTCCCTATCTCTCCCTGGTTTCCAACAAATTATTCTTTCAGTTAATCAAAACACAGGGGTGGGGGGTCATGGACACATGTTGAGATCAAGGTCTTACCAGTTCTAGATTACGGGATTTACAGATTGGTTGTACTGTTCCTCACACATTTCTTGAACTATTCCAAAGCAATGACTTGGGATTAGCATTGTACCTGCAGAATATTCAGAGCCCGTCGCATATCTCCACTAGAAAGAGTCACAAGTGCTTTCATCCCATCTTCACTTATATCGATTCTAAAGGAAAACAAACAGAAGGGATTGAGAGGCCCAGAAGAGCCCAAGCATTCACCAAGGGAACAAGATGGCCTGGAATGACTAAGGTTTTGAAACAAAAAAAAAAAGGGAAGGACAGAGTTAACAGTACTCTCCTGCTCTACAGGATCTAGAATTCACTCTGGAATTCTGGGCTGATGGCTTCACATAAGTAGTCACAGCCCACTCAAAGTCCAGAAAGACCCTTATTTAGGACCAAGCATTGCTGTGTTGAGCAAATGGCTCTGAGTTATGTTTTTTGGAGAGGAAAGGGCACTGGTGAGATGTGTGAGCAGAGTCAAAGCACCGCCTTTCAAACAAGCAGCAGTTCAGGCTAGTTACTTGCTCAGCATCTGATTACACTGAATGTAATCCCAGTACCTTTCCTTCCAGTCAAAAAAAAAAAAAAAAGGCTAGACACATCTTAGCAGAAGGGACTTGGCAGCATGCAGTTTCCAATGACAAAAGAAGGGGAGGAAACAGACAGCTTTCAGGGGAGATAGATGGAAGGAGAAGACTCAAATGACTTTTACGAAGAATGTTCATAACATACCAGAGAAAATGACAACAGCTAACAAACCCTGACGCTAGGCATCCTACTCAAGTTGTTTACAAACAGCACCTTTAAATGTAAACCACCCAGTCATCTCAGAGTTCTACTTACACCACACTCAGTTCCCAAGACCCCTACCTTTCCTGCTTTTCAATACACTTACTTCTCTTCTTCTACAACATGTTCCAGGCGTGGAACCATGAGTTCAGGAGTCAGGGGACCGAATCGGAACCGTGTACAGCGAGACTGCAAGGCGGGGATGATCTTTGATAGATAGTTACAGATGAGGCAAAATCTGGTGTTTTCAGTAAATTTCTCAATCACTGGCAGGAGAAAAGAAAACCACCTCATCTCCATTCTGATTCATCCAAGGACCAAGAAATCCTGAACTTTTCTGTGGCCATGTGAATGGTACAGGTAACAAGAATATAACAAGAATTTAAGAATGCAAACAAGTGGGATGCTACTCTAACTAGAGAAGGTGTCACTGGGGTGGTCAGGACTAGGAATCATCCACTCTCTTTCAAAAGCCCACCAACATGTCACCTCCACGGGACTTTATGAACTGCTTCTTTAAGATTCACCACGATTCCTGTGTGCCATCCCACTCCATTGAAATATGAAATACAGTATTCCTGTCATTTTTTTAAAGATTTTATTTAGAGAGGGGAAGAGAGAAAGAAAGAACGGCAGAGAAACATGAATGTGTGCTTGCCTTGCATGCATGCCCCCTACCGAGGACCTGGCCCACAACCCTGGTATATGCCCTGACTGGGAATCGAACTGCCAACCAACCCTTTGGTTTATAGGCCAGCACTCAATCCACTGAGCCACACCAGCCAGGGCTATTCCTGTCCTTTAGATAAAATGTATTTGGCAGGATGATCTTCCACCTTCTACCAGGTGGGGAGAGGTGTGGCTTTTTGCAGACTTCCAGTGGACCTTGTCTCAAAGCCTTAGAGCATGAAAGAGAGTAACAACCCAAATTCAGAGATGCTTACGATGCCAGTTTGATTCTGTAGGTACCCAATGTTTCTGCACAGGGATCTGCCTGGACTGACAGTTGCTCTGCAGAACAAGATGCTAAAGAAAGACTGCCAAAGCCAGGACCAGAAGATAATTCTGTCCTCCTCCCCCTGATTTCAAACATTGGCCACAAGCCACTCCTTTTCCCCAGAATTCCTAAAGATCATCCTTTTCTTTCAGCTGATTACCTCAGAATCTTGATGAGATTATGAATGTCCTTTCAAAGAAATTAACTGCCCCAGGCCTCTTAAAACAGACAAACCACGGAATATTCTCCTGCCAAATTATGTACTGAGTATGAATAAGTTTCTGGAATTTTCATGGCTATTTTGTATCTAAGGGTACCAACAGCAGAGCATCTATCCAGCAGTTTAGGAGTGAAAGGCTTTCCATAATCTTCATCAAATGATACAAAATTCCCAACCCTGAAATTGAAGCCAGCTGAAGAGAATGAAACACCGGAAGGGCTTCTGTCTGTCTTTAAGCTGCTGAAAGGGGAAAACCCCCCAAATGGAGACATTTTGCCTAGATCATCAGGTGGGATACATGGAAAAAGGTATACAGAGATTTCTGAGCCAGAAATGAATGAAAATGAAAAATCCACGCATATGTCCAAAATTCCTAATTCTCCTGGCGTGCTCATCAGCCAGCTCACTCTTACCATTAATACTCTGCATTTAACAGCTCTTCTTACCTCTCCTCAAGGCATTCTGGGCATCTTGAGTCATGGCATCAGCTTCATCCAGTATCACTAATTTAAAGCCTTTCCTAGGAAAACAAACAAGTACTGTTTTAAGATTTCTTCATCCCTTCAACTTCCAGGCCCAAACCTACAGCTTCACATTTGTGCCATCAGGCCCTGTTTCAGAGTCCATTTCTCCTAGAACTCTGACCAAAGCAGATGTTTGTGGTCACAACAGAGGAAATGCCATCGGTCCTTCAACTCTTAAAGGGGACTGAAGTCTGATTCCTGTATTTTTGTTAGTCTTCTGGCACCTTCATATTTCTTCCACACAGTACTGTATTTCTCTAGTGCTGTTTTTTCTCCACCACCTTCACTTATGCCTTTTTATCTCTTTTTTTTTTATCACTATCCTAGTTATCCATCCTGATCTCAATTCATTTTTGTTTCAATTGAAACTATCTCTTAGGATGTAATCAGTCCTCAGCTAACTAATGAAGTTAATGCTTCCCCAAAGACCTTGTTGATATAGACTTTGATCATTTTATTTCAGTATTTGCATTTTTTTTTTTTACCACCATCCCTGCACTTTATCTCTTTTTCACGGCTGCTTTTGACAGTCATTTTTCTTCCCCTTTACAAACTGGCATAGGGGAGAATTAAAAAAAGCCCTATGATCTCAATGATTAAAACCTCTAGGGAGAGGAATTATGCAAATATTTCTTACTTAAATATTGTCCTTGTGCTAGCAAAACTCAGGATTGGTCCCCGAACGATATCTATTCCTCGGTCGTCTGAAGCATTCAGCTAAATGAGGACGAGAGAAGCCAGAATAAATAAAAAACGTGTTGGTGTACATGTTTGTGAATTAATGTATCTTTTTATCAATCTAGTTCAGCAAGATAGGTCTCCAAGTCTAATTAGACACCTAAGAGATAATCGCTATTAAAAAAGCAAGATCACATTTGTGTTTAAAACTCGTAACTCACTAGATCATTACATTCTGAAAGGCAAAACACTGGTATTCCTCTCCTCTTTTGAGGACAATCACTGACATACTCGGGAGGAATAATTAAATTAATTGGCCTGATCTCAGTGAACGGCACCTCTAACATGAGCAGAATGATGCCAAGTTTAGCCACCACAACATAGAGCAACCCAGAAGTTACCAAGTTTTTAATACATTGAGGTAAGAACATGTATATCAGCAAGGTTCTAAGATCTGAAACAAAAAAATTTTTTCTTGCAATCAACAATACTTAGAATGTTGTAATCTAAGTGTATTAGTCGAGTCCTAGCAGTAAACAGATGGCATACTCAAATTCAGTACTCTGAAGAGAGTTAGGTAAAGAAGTATTTTCTAAGGTGCTAGTGGGATATGGGGAAGCCACAAGGGCGGTGCAATAACTGTAATACCTCAGGGACTACTGGGGCCCGTTACCAGCCCCAAGTCTTAAGGGGTTCATGGGGGAATGGCACTGCCACCTGGAGAAGGCAATGTGATGTGCCCTGTAGATGGGGATGTTGTCAGCCATGGTGGCTCCCAGGGCAGGACCAGGCATCATTCTCCTCCCTTACCCCCCCTCCTGCCAAGGCCCCTATTGAGAAAGCTGACCAGGGGCCAGAGGGCAAGAGAGGTTGCTATAAAGCTCAGCCTTCCAGGACAAGAATCAGTTGCAGCAATGTGGAGATGCCATCTGGAGGGGCACATGGGAGACATCCAGCAACTGAGTGACCACTCACTGTGTGACCACTGAGTGTTGGGTACAAGTTGGCAACAGCAAAGAAAAACACCTAGCCCTACAGCTAGCTAATGCCAATCCAGACCGAAGTCAATTACAGGAAAAAGGTGAATTGAAATATCTCATTTTACATCCGCTTCTTTCCCAACCACCAGCAGGACAGCTTAATTGTAAAGTAAAACAAAACTAGGAGAACTAAAAGAGACTGCAGGCCTTTGTCAAGTAAGAATAATCCTCCTAATTACCTCCAAGACCATAGAGCCGAATTCTTTGTCTTTGTACAGCTGTTTTGCACAGGCTAGAATGGTGGATGTCTTTCCTGTCCCCGGAGGGCCATAGAGAAGTAGGTGTGGCAGTCGGTCTTCACTGATAAATTTTTGAACTGAAGGTTAGGAAAAGAGAGACACCGTCAGTTTCTGAGAGTTGCCTCATTCACCGTGGGCCCTGGAGTTGGGCTGAAGGCACTACAACTTTATGTTTAAATCAGAGGCAGATGCAGGAATAAAAAACCTGAAGGACCCAACTCTTACAGCAACATTCCATAAAGCTCAATCAGAGTCTTCAAAGTTATTACTCAGCAAAGACAGCATCACCAAGAGATTTATACAGGTCCTTCAATAAGGATAACAGCAACTGGCACAAGGATGCTTACTGGTACTCAAAATGTCTTGATGAGAAATGAGATCATTCAGTGTCTGTGGCCGGTATTTTTCAACCCTGAAATAGAATTTAGCATGGATTACACCACATATAAATACAAGAACATTTTGTTACATGCAGAAGAATCCTTTCATACCCTAACTAAAGGAGGAAGAGAAACAAAACCCTTTGCCTTTGAATAAAGACTAGTGTTCTCAACCAGGGGCAATTTTTTCCTCCAGGGAACATCTGGCCATATCTGGAGACATTTTCAGTTGTCACAGCTGGGTGGAGGTTGCTACTGGCATCTAGTGGATAGGCACCAGGGATGTTGCTAAAGATCCTTCAGTGCACAGGACAGCCCCTTTACCCCTCCCCCGCAACTAAGTATCTGGCCCAAAATGTCAATAATGCTGAGGTTGGTAAACTCTAATTGCACTTTTCCAGCTGTCTGCCTATAATCTCAACCAGGATGGGCACCTATTATTTCAAAGTGAATTCAAAGTCAAACTCATATCCAAGTATACAGAAACAGATGCGTGGTGGTATATCCATACAATGGAATATTATTCAGCCATGAGAAGGAGTGATAACCACTATAATATGGATGAATCTTGAACACATGGTAAGTGAAAAGAAGCCAGTCACAAAGGGCCACATACTGACTTGTCTTCTTACGAAATACGCAGAAAAGGCAAATTTGGAGACAGCAAATTAGTGGTTGTCAGGGGCTAAGAGAGAGGGGATAGGAAGTGACTGCCTGTGGGTATGTGGTTTCCATTTCGAATGATGAAAACTTTTGGAATTATATAGTGGGATGGCTGCACAATGAACCCGCTTCGTGGGCTGAACTGTACATTTTAGGATGCTTACAACTACAAACTGATTGTTACATGTTTTTACAATAAAAACAAATTATTATTAGACAAGAACTGGGGAGTTTTTGGAAATCCAAGCTAAATCCCACCAGTCTTTAAAACATCATTAGGACATGGTGTAGAAGTAAATGTTTAAAAGTACAAGCTCCAAATTCCAAAGACTTTAGTTCAAATCCAAACCTATTTTCTGGATCTTATTATATAAGTTATTTAAGCTATTAGCTGCATTACTCCAATTGTAAAGTTGGGATAATAATACCTGTTTCCTAAGCTCTTTGTAAAGATCAAACATCTAATAATAGGATGCCTGCTAATCTAAGAGAAGGCTATTTAAATAAAAGTTAACCAGGGAGTGTTATTATCATTAGTTTAGTTTAGAATTTGACCAATAATCGCATTGAAGATTTTGGCAAGAGCGAAGAGGACATTTTGGCACAGGAGCAAGTGCAATGTCAGAAGCCCTGTGCTGTCACCCAGATGCGAAGACATCTTCCCCTAAGGTAAAAAGAACGGGGGCGGGTGAAAGGGAAGATCTGGCAAAAGTCATAAGAACGGAGGAGGATGGAACTGAGGAGTTGGAGGGTTGTGGAGCCCAACCTCTATGGCTCCGCTCGGGCCGCCCGTCAGGGGCCCCGCTGCTTGCCCACCCGGCCAACCCCCCTTCCCCGTGGCAGCCGACGCTGCAGCTGGGCCTTCTCCTACCAGGGCAGGTTCCTGATCTTGGACGCCGAGGGCTGCTGCTGCCTGTGCGCTGAGGTTTCCATGGCGGGGTGATGAACGAGTCTGGATCCGTAGTGTGGTCAAGTCTCCCTGGAATCTGCACAGCTCAAACCCTGGGACCCTCGCACTTAGAGTTCGCGCGCAAAAGCGCCTCTCGCGAGACTTAGCCGCTGCTTCCGACTTCCTCTTTAGGGTTCGCCCCTTTTTGTTGCTAAGGCGCCGGTTGCCTGGTTACCGTGAAGCGCAGGCCGTCAGCTTCCCTTACGCTCACTTCTACCCGGTGTTGAGTCTTCTGAGCCCCGTGACGGGGGCAGCAGGAGAAGCAAGGCCACCCCTGCAACCGCTAGTCATCACTACAAATTAAAGTCTCACGGCCAAAGCCAATCCCAGGTATAGCCAAAGTTCAAATGCTTGCTGTTCAAAGGAGCAGAAAGCCGCCAGCGCTAAAAAATCCGGAGGAAAAAATCTCCAAATGCCACGCCAGTTCTTGAATATAGATGCCATATGAAAAAAGGCTCGAAAACCTCTTGGCCCCAAAACTGTGAGGTGAGTACTCCGAATTCAAAAGCAACTCCATACAAGCACAATTTCATACTGTCCCAAGTTCATGTCCCTACCCCCAAAATCTAGAGAACCAACCTCCAGAAACAAATCCAGAGTGAAAACAATTAATTAATTAGTTAAACAGACTTCCAATTAGGTTAATATGTGTAATTGGAAAGGGTCAGTTAATAGGCATAGAGAATTGGGTCCCTGTACGATTTGAAGATAAAAGGGGAGTTGCTATCAAAATTTTAGGGTATTTTTTTCTTAGGTGAGGGTATTATAAACCACCTTTATTTTCCTCTATTTTGCTGGTCTGTATTTCCCAGCAATGAATGTTTATTGCACCCTTAATAAAGTTTGTTATTTACATGTTGAGAAAAACAATGTTGGGAAATGACACTGGTCTGGGGTCATGGTGTTCTGATTCAAAAGTAGCTGCTCCTTGCATCTCATTACATCACTGTCACCTGCTTTAGGAACAGAGTAGACGGACAGTAGGCAACCCCTAGGCCCCGCCTGGGGATTCAGTAGAAGGGGATCAGGCGTGGCTTGTGGTATGACTATGCTCCTGCTCTCTGCTTCCTCCCAGGCCAACTCTAATAATACAGTTGTTCAGCTCATTAGCCTGCCACTTTCCCCACTTAGCTTAGGGCAGGTTGCTTCCTCTCCTCCTCCCACAATACCCACCCTGAAATGATTGTGAGGATTAAATGAAATAACACATGTAAAGCATCCCACACATTGCTGCCTTCTCTCTCTCTCCCTTCTAACACCCTCTCCACTCACCCTGTTCTTGTTTCAGATGTTTCCTCTCAAACAAAACCTAAAGAATTGGCAGGTGTGACGGTGCCTGTGAGGGTTAATTTTTTGTGTGATTTTGGGGGTGTGTCTCTGAGGGTGTTTCTGGAAGAGATGGGCACTTGAATTGGTAGACTAAGCAAAGATCTAAGACGGAGGAAGGGTGCACTTGCTCTTTTTTTTGAGCTGGGACATCCATCTTCTGCCCTGGGGCACCTGTGCTCTTGATTCTCAGGCTTTTGGAATCAGGCTAAATGACACCCTCCCCCTTTCCTTGTCTTCAGCTCCCAGATGGCAGATCGTGGGATGTCTTGGCCTCCATAACCAAGTGAGCCAATTCCTATAATGTATAGTATAAATATTTATATAAATATGAATATGTAAAATATGTAGTATTTATAATGATTATTAACATATAATGTTATGTAGTAATAATATATATGTATTGTATAACATAGAATATAGAAATATATTTTTAAATCTACACATATATTTTTTCTGTTGGTTCTATTTCTGTGGAGAACCCCGGCTAAAATGCCATAACCTGGGCTTATTCAGCACCCATCGTAAGAGCCATCTTGCTAAGGGGCCTTTGAATCAGAAACACGATGCCATCGTTTCCTTGAGCTGGAAGATTCAAACACGCCTGGATCAAGTTCTCATAAAACTCTGTGTGCACCTGCTGTTTGATTTTCTAGGAATGTAGCATTCTTCTGTGTGATATATTATGTATTTAAAAGGTCATTGTGTGCCTCTACAGTGGACTATAAGATGGTTGAAAGGCTAGGCTTTCGCTTATTCACCGCTGTGCCCCTGGTTCCTGGAACACTGCCTGGCTCAAACGGAACACTTCATTGTAAAATGAGTGAATGAATGAATGAGTGATAATGGCTATTATTTATTAGGCAGTTATTAATTGAGACACTGTTCTAAGGGCTTTATGTTTATCATACTCGCTTGATGGTTGTGATAATCCCAAACTAATATCACTGGCCCCATTTCGTGCATGTGAAGTAACTTGCCCGTTTTCCGACCAGTTGTCAGGAGCAGAACTGGGTCTTAATCAAGGTAGGGCAATTCTGTAGCCTAAGCTCTTAGCAGCTGTTGCACTAGTGTGGTCCTCGGACCAGCAGCAGCAGGACCGAGCGCACCGTCCCCTGGGAACTTGTTAGAAATCTTCATTATTTTTCCCTTCACCCCAAACCTGAGACTCTGGGGATGGGCCCAGCCATCTGTGTTGTAACAAGCCCCCCAGGGGGTTGTGATGTGATCAAATTTGAGACTCACTGCACCACACTCTACTGCTCCCCAGTCCTTGAGTTCTCCGTGACTTCACTTTCTAAGAAAAAGAACGGGTGCTCACATGCATATTCTGGGAAAACAAAGGTGTCCTATTAAATGTGGTTTATGTGTATGCGTGCTTTTGTTACTGCTTTTGCAGTTACTTGAAGGTAGTCCTTAGATCAAGTTATTTAGTTTAGTTTTTTTTTTTTTTTTTACCTCTGTGTTAGCACTTGTAAAAAGGGGTGGTGGTTGATGGGTGGATTAGAGAGAGGGATGACATTAAAAGTACCTGAGGATTTTTAAAAATTCCAATGCCAGAAATCCAGCCAGACCGATTAAATTGGGCCTCTGGGGCGTTGGACCCAACATGGGCATTTGAAGAAGCTTCCCAGGTGATTCTAATATTCAGCCAAAGTTGTTGCATTATAGACTAAATGGATCACAGCAACCCTAGTTCCTTGATTGGCTTATAGGGTGAGCATGTGACCCAGTTCTGTCCAATGAGATGTAAGAGAAAATGTGGAGTAGGGGGCGGCTCTAGGAAACTTTTCTCATTACTTTGCTGATCCTCACAGTAAGTGGTTTTTAACTTCTCTCCCAGTGTCAAAATTCTGTCACTTGAAAGAGGAGAGAGATGAAGACCAGGTTTATAAACTCACAAGTCTGTAAGTATCCTGGAAGTTAAGATATCAATTAGGAAGAGGGTTGGGGGAAACTATGCCCATGCCTCATAGGGCAAAATGTAAGCAGAAAAGGAATACAGTAAGGAGATACTGAGTAGCTCACAATCAGCAGGCCTGCTGGAGAACCCCATTGGGAAATTGGTACAAAGATGGGTCATGGAACTAAAACATGGTCAAAATCTCTCCCCAGAACCAAGCCAGTGGGGAAACCGTTGCTGCTGCTGATCTTTAGAACCTCCTGGCCCTACAGTCCCTAGAATCTGGACAGTGCTTTCCCCATTTCTATTGGCAGAAAGAATTCACCAGTTCTCTCTTGTACTGGATCCTTCCTAAAACTAGTGCCCCATTTAAAAGCCTGGGAGACATGTCAAATTGGCCAGGCCTGGGTCGTGTGCTAGTGAGGGCCTCGTATACAGCTTGGATGATGGGAAAGACAACCTGCCTCCCTCCCACCGAGCCTCATAAACTGGGAACAATTGCTGGACATAGGAGAGGGTTCAGATGCTGGCCACCAAAGGATCACGAATGTCCACTGCATCAGTATTCAGCCATTCAGGACAGCAGACAAAGGTTGCCAGATCTTATTGTTTTTCAAGAGAAACCAGAAATTCGGATTTTTATGTGAAATTCCTGTATTTAAATGTATTTAAACTAATTTAAATACTGCTGGCCAAACAAAAATACTGTAGGATCACTTTGTGACTTTTGATTTCTCAAGGACAGATGATCAGGCAAAAAGATACAGTAATTCCTTCTTGCTGTCTGCTCTGATTTTAGAACTTCTGGAGGATTGGGGCAAATCAAGCTGGTACCTCTGTGCAGATTGTGACACTGACGAGCACAGGCACAAATGTTCTTATATAATCAGGGCCAGACTTGGAAACACTTTAATAAAACATCAGCTCCTGGAGATGGCAGGATCAGAGGTTACAAACAAAATTGCCAATGGAAGGCGTTTGCTCTTGAAATTGAATAAGGGAGAGGGAGCCCTGGATTTTATTACTCTCAGCTTTGGAACAAACTTGGCTTTGGACACAGCATTTACTGCCTTCGTTTATTTTTAAGACTTGTTTTTATGAGAGAATGGGATGCGAGGCTATCTTTGGAAGATGCTGGCAGAAGAAAATCAAACTGGGTCTTTCTCCTGAACCTGTTTATACTGGTGAAATCATGTTTAAACGAAGAGCAAGTGCGTGAAGGAGGAAAAAAGAAATCTTGAAGAGCAATTTGAAGAGTGTGTATAAGGGGAAGGTCCATCTTCTTTGGTAAGCATGACAAAATCATCAAATGATAAGGAATTTAATTCCTCATATCTTTTAGGACACTTGCTTCCTTTCTTGTCAGAAGCCCCAAAATGCTCCACATCAGGGCTTAGGGAAATCCATTCTTCAGCCCCCTACCATTTGTTGATTGAATAACTGATCAATTGTTATTTGTTGATTCACGAATCTGATTCTCTTTAAGTTTGGGATTTAAAAAGGTAACTCATGAATTTGCTTTGTGATACTCGGGCTTAAAAAAAGAAAAAATCACATTACTTAATATTTCTAGAATAATTATATTTGACTCAGGTCCTCCAATGTTCTTTTCTCAAGCCGAGGTGGTTTGGAAATTCAGTCTATGGGGAGCTGGGAGTTGGGTTCCTTCCCTTCCCTGAGGTCATTCAAGAAGCCCAAGACACTATGGGGAAATAGGACAGAAAGTTGGGAGAAGGGCTTTTAGTCTGCAGTTCTTCCTGTAGTTTGTTGGAGTAGATGCTCTTTGTGGGGACTGAAAAGGTCCGTGGAGGCTGGCAGCTCTGCTGATAATAGTGTCCTTTCCTTCAGTGTCTGTCCCAGCCACTTTGAAGTTGTGTCATTTGCTCCCAGTGGCACAGGATTTGGAGTTTAGACTTTCCTTTTCTGAAGTCCTACCTACTCCTTCCTCCTCCAAGTGGAGTCCCAAGACCAATAGTATCGACACTACTGGGAGCTTGTTAGAAATGCGGAGTCTCTGGCCCTGGCCAGGTGGCCCAGTTGATTGCAGCATCATCCCCTAAGCAGAAAAGGTGGTGGGTTCAATTCCGGTCAGGGCACATACCCAGACTGTGGGTTCAATCTCCTGTTGGGGTGCAAATCGGAGGCAACAGATCTATGTATCTTTCTCTCTGCTGCCGCCCTCTCTCTCCCCCTTCATCGTTGAAAAACATGCCCTGACCTGTATGGCTCATGTGGACATCATTCCGCAAAGCGAAAGGTCACAGTGTGATTCCTGGTCAGGGCACAAGCCCGGATTGCGGGTTTGGTCCCTGGTCGGTCGGGATGTACAAGAGACCACTGATCGATGTTTCCCTTTCACAGCAATGTTTCTCTCCCTCTCTTTCTCTCTCCCTTTCCCTCTCTCTAAAAATAAATAAATAAAATCTTTTAAAAAATGTATTTCTGGGTAAGGATATTAAAAACCAAAGAGCAACACGAAAGAAAGAGAGAGAGAAAGAAAGAAAGAAAAAAAGAAAAGAAATGGAATGAAATGCAGGGTCTCTGGACTCATTCCAGACCTTCTGAATCAAAATGTCATTTTCAGGTCTCCAGGCCATTTGTGTCCACATTTCAGTTGGTGAGCCCTAGATACCACAGGAGGTATCTCTTATCTCACCATCATGCTTCTTGCTGCTGCTCTGCATTCCTTGTGTGGAATTCTTCAGGGAGCTGGGCCACTCCTCTCTCACACAACAGTCCCACATCCTATCCTCTAAGGGCCTAGCATTTCGATAAATATCAAAGTTCCTAGGCATCTAAGCTCCCCTGAGCTAGGCAAATCCAACACCCCAGGACTCTGTGAGGCTTAATTGCTTGGGGGGAAAAGTGCCCTGTAGTCTCTGTGATGAGTCTAGAGTAGAAAGTAAGTACAGTTAATTTCTCAATCACATTATTCTATCACACTAATAATATGCCTTCCAGGCTGGTAAAAAATAAAAACTATTTCTTCTTCTGGAATCTTTCCTGATTCTCCCTGCTTTGAGTCTAGCATACTCGCCCTGGGTTGGGCTCTCTGGAGTCATCACGATTAAAAAAGAGAAAAGGGTGTTTAATAGGGAGGTGATGGAAGTGTGGTTGCATTACTCTGGCTCCGTTTGATGTAGGATGTAGGTCCAGCCTTGGACCACACTGCCTTTGGGTTTGTGAGACCGAAATGCAGAGGCAAAAGAGTGGCTGGGCATGTGCCTGTTGTCCGACCTGCATTCAGAACAAGAGGACTGCTCACCTCCCCTTTCTCCTCGTGGTAAGGACCCCGGGAGATGCAATGAAGTGAGAAGTAGATCTTAATATTGGTAAAAGACTGTAGATCCCGTTCAAGGACAAATAGTAATAAGAAGATGCAAATTACTGTCATTATTTATGTTTCACAGCAGAGTTACACAACACTATGTTACCCAGTAGATGCTACCCAGAGAAGTGCCATTTACAGACACTTCATCCTGTTCTCCAGTCCCCCCAGACTCACTCGTTCAAAGGACTTGGCCCAGGTTCAATGGCGATGTGATTTAAACGATGTATATTTTGAATAAATGCAATGCTGGAAAGTATAGCCAGAGTGTACTGAAAAATGAGAAGCCATGGTTGTTTCAAGTCAACACAGAGGAGAATTTTTCAACTTGAAGATATTTTACATGTTTCAGAGATGTAAATGGTCAAAGTATATCTTAAAAAATTATTTCAACTTTTGAGAAAGTGTATTCATTTTAAAAGGGAAACACCTTAAAATCAAATCTTGTTCCAAATGGGCAGATATGCTAGACATTAAAACATCTGACATGTTCATTAATATGAAGATGGGACGATTGTGCCTTGAAAAAGTCTTGACATTTAAAGGTCATTAAATATACAGATTTTTTAAAAATTTAACAAGCAAATTTCTTCCTTAAAGGAGTCTAATTAAAATTTCCTCAGTCTAATGGGAGTAGATGATTTTATACCCTCTGCTTTAATTTTTTTTTAATTTAAGGGGTATTGGACAAAAACAATATATTCAATATGTCATACTTTGGCAAATGTCAAACAGAACTAGCTTGTTAAATATGGGTTATCTTCCCTTTGCGCCAATTAATTAAAAGTGTTTTCTTAATGCTACATTTAAATACATTCCTGGTTTTTATACAATTTCTCATTTTCTTCTGTTGCTCAGGTGATTTGAAATTATAATTGAGAATAAATTTTGCAAAATTAACACATAAAAGGGCATCACTGGAAATGTTTTCCATTGCATAATTCCAAATGCCAGGGAAGTGGTTGGCATGTTTGGATAGTCACAGAACTCAATTCCATACATACATATTTCAAGAATACCCATCTGCTTAACACCAGGAAGGGTTTCAATGGTAAGATCTTGGTGTACTCGAATGTGGAGAACTTGGTGTGATAAAATTTGCAAAATCAAAATCGTGTTATTTCTTTCAAAACAGTTAATGGGATTAGAAAGTTGTTCCAAGACTGCAATATGGGATGATCAGAACAAGACAACAAGATGGTTTATTCATGTCCCCTGCACTCCTAAGCGACCACCAGGGAGAAGACACCAGAAGTAATGAACTAAAGGTAATAGTCCAGATGCTGAGGACCAGGCGAATTTAGCTTATGCTTTAATACTAATCAAGTGAGATTGCACCTTCTCTCTTGAAATTGTAGATGCTGAGAAATAGCAGTGACATTCAGACGCTGCCCTAAAGAGATTTATATTGGGAAAGCACCTTGATGTATTTAGTGCAAGTCCTATAAACTATCCTAATACTAGCACTGAATAAACTATAGTTAATAAGTTTACCTGTTGACATGTAGCAACTTAAAGAGAATGAGTCCTATTTTGAGGGGTAACGTGACCACGATAGATGGTCTACAAAGGTCACTACTGACGATTCCTCCCATTCCTGTGGTTGCATGCACCTCCGTGCCCTCAAGAAGTGCAGCTGATTTCCTCACTCCTGGAATCTAGGCCGGCCTCTGAGCAATAGATGTGGTGGAAATTCTGTTCTGGGATTTCCAAGCCGATATCTACAAGTCTTAACCTGAACTAGAGGGGATAGCATCTGCCACGTCAAGAAGTCCAGGCTATCCTACTGGAGAAAGAGGCCAAAAGAGGTGACTCCAGGAACCCAGATGAGAGCCAGAAAGGAGGCCCCTGACACATGAGGGAGTCCAGCTCACACCCTAGGGAAGAAGGCCCCAGCGGGAAAGTGTTCCAGTGGGAGAAGGTGTTCCTGTATAGGAACACAGTCCTCAGGTGTGCGAGCCATTCCAGCTGAAGTGCCACCCTGTGCATGTGGCCATCTTGGGTCCTCCAGCCCCACGTGAAGCCACTGCAGCTGACACCACATGGAACACAGATGACCCGCCCCTTGGAGCCCTGCTGGTGTTCTCGACCCACCCACTCAGGAGCAAATAAAATGATGGTTGTTTCAAGCCATCACACTTAGGTAGAGAAGAAAAACCAGGTGGAATATTCATTAACCAAAGCTGACATAACTAAAAAGATTTTTTAAAAGTTCTTTTGAAAAAGCTTTGTGGCTGTGCTTATAAACTATCTCAGTTGCTGATGTTTCTGTCATGGAGAGTGAGTTGTATATAAGCTAGTTAACCTGTAACTTTCATTAGAGCAGTGACAAAAGCAGTCACTTCAATGCTTCGCTATTTTTGCTCATTAGTATGTAAATGAGAAATTCCAAGAAAGCTATGAATAAGGATGGACAGCATTATAAACTGGATGCTCTGCTAAAGCAGATTTAGGGTGTAGATATTATCTGTATAAAGTACACTGGGGTACTTGTACAAAAATAGAAATATCTATATGCATACCCAGATTTAAGTCCAAAATAAATTGATCTAGGTCTAAAAAAAAGTTTTCAGCACATCGAAATTTCCATTTGCATTATAAATATGACTTGTAATACTAGTACTGAATTTTTAAAAACTTAGCTACCCAGTGTTTCCAAATTTGCCAGCATTTTGACAATGGGACATGTGGAGACATTGCCAAAAGTTTTGTCAACCTCAAGATTTTCTTTTTTTTTTTTATTTTCAGGATTGGTATAGATTTCCCCCCTTTTTTAGGAGAAGAGCTGTTAAATTAGCAGGTGACATATAGAGCAAATACTAGCTATATTTGGTGCATGTTCACTGGAAAATTACATAAAAGACTAGTTAGGAAAGGGGATGAAAAAGACCAGTAAGAAAAGCCAAATGCTAAGGGGGGAAAAGAATAATTTATACATGAGAGATTAGCATAAGGCATTTTGATCTATAATGCAAGTTGAAGATAAGAGAATAGGAGAAAAATGGTAAATAGAATAAGAGGAGAACAAAGTGACCTTTTTAAAAAACAGACTCATGCACACAGAATGAGGAGAAAGATCTAAAAATGAGTCCTACTGGGTTTCTATTTTTGGCAATATTTTAGACTAGATAATCTAAAAACTTTTTCACATTTAATAGTCATCTAGAAATGCTGGGTAAAATATAATAGACACCCTTGTCAATGCCAGAGAATAGGGACAACCCTCAGGAGTCAGAAAAGGGGTGTGAAGACCAGGGTGGTTGAGGATTGCTGCACAGAGCGGGAAAGGGATTGAGTTGTTGTGATGGTCCCAGAGGACAGCGGACAAAGCCTTGAGGGAATTGGGACTGCAGCCTCCACACAAACAAGGACCCTCAAAGGGCTCCACCTTTAGGGAAAGGGGGTGGGGAAGAAAAATCTGGGTGATAACAAGGACACTTATCTTCTTAATCCAGGCCTCTGGTGGGAAAGAAATGCCCCAATGAATTTGTCACAGTAAAAGTAGGCTGGTGTGACTCAGATGGTTGGGCATCCTCCAGCAAACCAAAATGTCACCAGTTTGATTCCCCATCAGGGCACAGGCCTGGCTTGTGTGCCATGCAGAAGGTAACCAATCGATGTTTCTCACATCCATGTTTCTCTCTCTCTCTCTTTCTCCCTCCCTTCCCCTCTCTTCCTCAAAAAAAAAAAAAAAAAAGATTGGCCAATCTTAGGTAAATGAAACAATAAACCTATATTCATTGGAGATAATAAAATTACACTCACATAGGTTTGGGGTTCAAATTTATACTATGGGGAAACCCCAAGCCAAGAAGTTAGCTGAACACAAACTCTGAAAGGACAAGCCTTCAGCCTAGATTTCCACAAATAAAGACCTCCTCTTTCGAAATGACAAGACACACAGGGAAGCCATCTACCATGAGCAAGAGACAACAGGGGCAGCACACAACAGGCTCAGATGTCAATTGCTTCAGACAATTGGATTATTAAAGAGTCATTTAAAATTGATTACATTACAATGATTAAAACCATAAATAGATTAATAAAAATATGAAAAAAGAAGAACTTCAATAAGGTACTTTTGGGAGAAAAACTCGGATGCCTTTATTTCAGCAAGCAATTTTTCTCCTCTTAGTGGAACGAAATATTCAACGAGACCACACCCACGTATTTGTGTACTCACCAGAAACAGTGAAATTTCCTGATGAGTCACTCATCATCGCCCATTCAGCAAACATTTGCTGACACCTGCCATGGGAGACACTGACTATGTTCTGTTTTGGGGGCACCACAGATAAAGGAGACAGACCCCCTAGTGAGGCACAGAGAACTGCACACCAAACACTGAGTATGCTAATTACAAGTGTGAAACATGGAACAGGATGAAGGAAAGTAAAGGAAGACTAGGTTGGGAGGGGCCGAGGAGGACCCTAAGGAAACGATTTCAGCAGAGACTCAAAAACTGGAACTCACCCTGATGAAGTGGGAGTAGAGAAAGCTTTCCAGGTGGGGAAGAGAGTATGTTGGAAGGCCTGCATCCCAGACAGACTGGTGCATTTGAGAGCCTTAGTACCACTAAGGCCAAATGAGGAAAGCCACTGGGGGCATGAGGAGTGAATGTATACGGTCACAGTGCAAGGCTGAATAGCTCTAGGGGTCAGATTGAGACTATCCTTTTATGCTAGGCCCAACAGTTTTGGTTAGGATTTATCCTGCAGGCACTGGAAAGTTTGTGAGTGGAGAGACTATCCAATTTAGGGTTCTGAATTGTCATTCTGGGGATGAGGTGCCAGGTGCTTTACTAAAAGGCAGACCTGCCCTTCCTTAAGGTGCTTGTGAACAGGACTTGAACTGCAAAAGGAAGTTCCTCTTCTGCAAGTTTGGGGGGAACGCACTTGAAACAATTTTGATGAGAGCATCAATAGGTGAATGAAACACTAAGTAAGCTCAGAAATATATCCACTGTGCATTCCCACATGGGAAAACCATAAGAATAATATGTAGAACATGTGCCCATTTTTAAAAGATAGAGACAAAACCTGAAGTTGTCCCTGTATACGAGTGAGTGTGCGTGTGCTCTCGTAGAAAAAGAAAATTAATGTGAAAAAAAGTCTGAAAGAGCTTCCAGGCCGTTGTCCTTCAGGTGCCTGGCGTGGATGGCTGTGGAAAACAGTAATAGTGGTGCTTCTGTTTTTAAGTTCGTTGATGATTATGTAAGAGGATGGAGGAGGAGAACAATTTTAAATTACTCCAAGGTCACAGTCATGACCCCCACACTGGAAACTGAGCTCTCTTGAAGTCGACCACATGTTTTATTCATCTTCAAGTTTCTCTGGTGCCTGGCACATAAATGCCCCATATAAGGTTATTAGATTTGAGAATGAGAATATGGGAAGTTGGGGATGCCCTACGGGTTGTGGGGGAACCAGCAAGAGACTACTCTTTGGGGAGTTAGATTCAACAAATATTTATTGAGCCTTTGTCATGTGCTGGCACAGAGGGTGAGAGGAGGTGGTTGGGTTTAGCAGCCCGCAGACTGAACCTTAGCAACAAACAAAGAATTAGGGAGACATGGTCAAAGGCACCAGCTTGGAGCTAGGGAGATCTCGGTTCGAATTAGGGCTCTTCCACTTACTGGCTGTTGACCAAAGGCAAACAGCTTACCCTCTTGGGGTTTCAAATTCCTCATCTGAAACCTAAGGATTATAAGAGTACCTACCTCAGAGAATTGTTGGGAGGAATAAATGAGATGTTCATGTCAAGCACTCAGCATAGGGCTTGGGAGAGAGGAAGCTCTTGATTTACGTGAGATATTATTGTAGGCAAATGTAGAGATCAAATTTGGTGTAGCTGCTTGGCGCTACTCTTAACAGCTACTAAGGAACTGTGCAAAGCACTTTATACATGTTATCTTACTAAGTGTTCATAACTGGTAATTTTTGTGAAGAGTATACTTATCACAATGTGTAATTGTTCAATTATTAATTGTTTAATAAGCATTAGTGTCTTTGTTAGTATTTTTATGGGAATGAATATGAATAGGAGAAACAGAATGAAAAAAAAAAGATGAACTCAGTACCATTCTGCTTATTCTGAGATTATATTTGCAGCATCCTCTGTACTTTGGTTGCACAGAGTCTTAAATATAAAATAAGAAGAAAATAGTCCCCAAAATGTCCCCAAATGTCCATCAAAATGGACATTTTCTGGCTTAGCATGGCATTCTTTTTCTTTAAATGTGGTAAAATACACTGAACATAAAATTTACCATTTTAACCACTTGTAAGTGCATAGCCCAGGGGCATTAAGCACATGTGCATTGCTGTGTAGCCCCCGCCACCATCCATCCCCATAAGTTCTCATCTTCCCCAAACCGAACCTCCGTGTCCATGAAACACCAAGTCCCCACTGTCCCCCGCCCGCAGCTCCCAACAACCACAATTCTACTTTTTGCCTCTGTGAATCTGACCATGCCAGGCATCTCACGGCATTTTGTGTGTGTGTGTGTGTGTGTGTGTGTGTGTGTATGAGTTAAGTAAGCTCAGCATGATGTTTTCAAGGATTGGTCATGTAGCACGAATCAGTATTTCACCTTCTCACGACAGAATAGTATTCCATTGTATGCATCTACCACATTTTGTTCATCTGCTCATCCGCCAACAGACCCTTGGGTTGTTTCTACCTTTTGGCTATTATGAATAGTGCTGTTATGAATATTCATGCACAGGTATCAGTTCAAATCCCTGCTTTCAATTCTTTTGGGGGTATTCAATTCTTATATACCCCCAAGTGGAACTGCTGATACGGTAATTCTATGTTTAAATATGTGAGGAGCCACCATAACTGCTTTCTGCAGCAGCTGCACCATCTGATGTTCCCACCAGCAATGCATAAGGATTCTAACTTCTCCACATCCTTACTAACACTTGTGGTTTTGCACATACAATCATGTGCCCATGTGGAAGAGATTCTGTTGCACAGCTTTTTTAGAAATGGAACTGCTGGGTCAAAGGGTGCATGCCCCCCAGAAGGGTTGTACCAATTCACTCTCCCACCATGAGTGCATGCAAATGCTTACCGGCCTTATTCTCACCAACCTTCAATAATATCACCCTTTTCAGTATTTGCTATGCTGGGGACAAAAAGTGTCTCATTGTGTAAATTTGCATTTTTCTGATTACTGTTGGAGCATCTTTTTGCATTTTATTGGCTACCCATGTCTTTTTGCTATGATTTAATCGACACTCTCTATTGGTGGATCATTAGCTTGGTTATCAGCCCACCACGTATGTGAAATAACCAAAGAGGACAGTGAACATGGGAAGCTGTTTGAAATGCATTCGACATCTATAAAATGACTGCAGAGACATTCAGAATGATAACCCTGAGTCATCAAGTAGTCAGACTGCATTTAGGAAGTAGAATAATGCTTTACAAAGAGTTCTGCCAAAAGTGGTTGAAAATACGAAGTCTTGGTAATTTCTAAAAGCTACCATTTACTGAACATCAACCATCCGTCATCCTCTGTTAAGGCTTTTCATACATCATTCTATTTCATCGTGGCTTGAACAAGTATCATCTCATTTTATATTGTGGAAAGAAAGGCTTCTGGAGACTCGCCCAAGGTCACAGAGCATAGGAAATGGGTGTGCAGGTGGATCAGATCCCAATCTGCCCCACACCTTTCCCCTTTGAGAGTGACAGCTGAGGGAGGTCCTGGGGACTCACAGAGTCAGCCAGCGTGAACCATGCCTACCAGCGTCTCAAATATCCTGAGGTGTTTGGGTTGCTGTTGCTTTTATTGTGTTTTGTAAATTCAGAGTCAGTCACCTTTTAGAGGAAGACTTTACTGCAGTCTGCAGAGTGTGCCCAGCAGCTCACTAGGAAGTGACTTCAGGAGGTGCTTAGACACCCTGTTAAATGGCACTGAATCACCCGCCGAGGGGTTGTTTCCCCGTACACTCCCCTTCCACCTGCTTCATCAAGGAGAAAGTCTCCATGTGGTGCTAGGAAGTCGGTAACACCTCTCCAACACTTGCTAATTTAAAAAAAAAAATTCACTTTTGACTTCAGAGAGAGGGGAAGGTGGGGAGAAAGAGAGGGAGGAACATCAATCAGTCACCTTCCGCACACACGCTACCTGCAACTCAGGCAGTGACCTTTCAGTTTTCGGGAAGACGCCCAACCACCTGAGCCCCACCAGCTGGGGCCGATTATTTTAACAAAGATGCTGCCGCAGAGTCAGAGCTTCAGCAGGTGACAGTGTGTAGGTAGAATCGAATAACATTATTTGTAAAAATTATATTTACTTTTACAGTTATCTAATTATGGCAAGATGTCTACTTTTCATCGGCACTAATGAAATCAATTTTCCTTTTAAGACAAACTTATTTTTGTAAAAATAGTGAGTCATTGTACAGAAAATTATAAGCATACACTGTAATAGGCTGTAAAATAATTGGACAAAGTTGTGAGTAAAGATCATGCTTGAAGGACGTTTTGGAGACATGGCTTTACAGAATTCGTAAGAGCAGTATCTGGGCTACATAGGCGTCACTTGTCCTTAACTCCTCCTGCTTTCCTAACTTCAGGGAACACCAAGGTCACAGGAGGTGCTTGTTCAAATGCAGCTAGCCCGGACTCTCGCAGCCCTGGTGGAACTCGGGGTTTTGCGATTTTGATAAGCGGCCCAGGTGGTTCTGGGGCACCTGGACGGCACGTGGCACTTGCCGAAATGGGTCTTCCCATTTCAACCTGGTACAGATTAAAAAAAAAACGACAGCAGATTGGTACGAATGCTACATGTATGTAAATCCATCAGGCCACAGAAGTGCCTTTGACTTTGCGTTGCTGTAGTGGGTGCTGTTTCCAGCAGCAGCACCCATGTAATTACATGTGACCTCCCAGCAGTTACATGTAATCTTCAGGCAGCACTGGAAGCACATTGCATGCGTTGAGTCTTTTGATCCTCAGTACAACCCTAGGGGTTAGGTAGTATTATGACCCTCATTTTATACATAAGGAAGCCCAGACATGGAGAGGTGAAATCACTCCCTTAAGGTCACGGGGTCTACCTGCCTCTTCCAGATTTCAGCTCTCCCTGTGGTGATGAAGGTTCATGGCCTCCTCCAATGCTCCATCTTCTTGTCATTCTATTAGGACATCAGACTCTTTTACAATCAGAAATTAATTGGTATTTGAATTAAATCATCAATGACTAGGTGAAATGTCCCCAGGCTGGGGACTAACTAGCCTTCCAGCTGAAGTGAAACTGTGGACTAGGTCTGTCTTTTAAAAAGCCGACACTTGTGCTTCCAATGGTGGAAACAAAGTGCTCTAAATTTATCAAGGAAACTAAACTGATTGATCTGATTCTGTGCACAGAAGCACAAGACAGGGGAAAACTTGTGACCTGTCCCACTCAGCATTTCTAATTTCCCCCCATTTCATCAAAGAAAAGGAAAGTCCGAAGTTGCAGAGGAGACTTACAAAGGGCCTTCAGCTCCATTTTTCAGAATCAAGTACATACAAGAAGCTAAATAAACACAGGGCTGATGCCTTTCAGAAGGCAACCAAATTTTGGATGATCTGAGGTTCATCTAGCATCGAGGTGGGCAATTGCATTCACTCACTGCATGCATTTCTTTTCTTTTTTCTTTCCCCCACCCTCAACTTGCTGACGGGGTCAACACAGCGCCCCAGGGCAAACTGCAGACAGCTGTGGGGGCTGCGAAGAGGAGGAGGTGCACTCCGCTTCCACTGACCAGACAGATGGCCTACGTGTGAGCCGGGAGGCAGGTGTGGGCTTTATCTCTGACCCGGCACAGCCCACTGCGGGAAAGGTCTGCAGCAGGGTAGGTGGCTCGCTGTGAGTGCGTCCAGACTACAGAACAGGTTTGTTTTTCCTGCCAGCAGATGCTTGTTTTGAACCGTTGAAGAGCTCTGGTGGAAGAGGGCTCCCAAGCAGGAGCACATGGAAAATGCATGGCCAGGGTGTCAGCAACTGCGTCACAGCTGCACTTTGGAAAGGGGCGAGCGCTTTGAACAATGCACACGCGTCCACGTGACAAACCGTTAAGATTCCAGCCGGGTAAACAGCACGTGTTCTCTACCAGGTTGCTTCTCGGCCTCCAGCACAGCACACACTAGGACCTGTCTCACTGGCTCAACAGTCGTGGGGCTGACTTTTAGATTTTGTGAGGTGCTTTAAGATGCTGTTTTTGATCACAAAGCAATGGACTCTCCTTTAAAATACAAAGATGCTGTATTCATATGTTTCTTGTACCTGTTGGGCTGCTAAAGTTACTGTGGGCTTATAAGGGTTGAAATCAAAAACACAACAGACACTTTAGTAAAAACTCGAAAGATTCTCAGCTTGTATACAGTTTGACCCTTGACATCTGAGGCTGAAACAGCAATTCTCTAAAAGAGAGCTCTAGTACAGTAGCCCTCAAGTTTGGCTGCACAGTAGAATCATTCAAGGAGTTTTTAAAAAATCCCGATGCCCAGGCCAACTAAGTCAGAATCTCTGCGGTGAAGGACCCAGGTATGACTATTTAAAAAATTCCCCAGGTGATTCCCTTGTGCAGCTGAGGTTACAAAGCAGTACTTCAAGGGGAAACTGACTTTTTGAAAGTCACACAGCATTTTGAGAGAAGTGGTTGCCTGCCGATAACTCATTACAAAGGAATGAAAATGGAAGGGAGTTGATAGTTTGCCTAATTTCCATACTTTCCTATCCGCCTGTCTTCTAACTGTTGTGTGCATATTAAGAACCTTACACTTCTGTGCCGGTGGGGACCAGGCAGGTAGAGCAGAGGAGGGGACACTCCCAGGGCAGGTGGGGCCGAGGGGACGGGACAGGACAAAGCCTCATCCCTGAAGGAGCAGTCACCCTGCCTTCCTTGGCAAATGCAGCTCCACTGGGGCCAGGGTTCGGGTTTTCCCAAAGAAATTGGTCACCAGGATGTTTTAGGTGAAATATCCCACTTTAGATGTGTTAGCCACAAATTCAGATTAGTTTGAAACTCCATGCAGCCCAGTGAAACTCATCTGCGGGTCAAATTTGGCCTCGTGGGCTGCCTTCCAATTCAACTAGTTGATGTACCTTTGGGGAAGCAGGGATTCCTTTTTTTTTTTTTAAATTTATGGCAAAGTATACTTACCATAAAATTTACCATTTTAGAGGGTACAGTTCAGTGCCATTAAGTATGTTCATGTTGTTTGCAGCCACCACCTCTGTCTAATTCTAGAACTTTTGCATCACCCCAAATAGCACCCCCATACCTATGAAGCAGCCACTCCTCATCCTCCCCTCCCCTAGCTCCTGGAAGCCACCAGTCCGCATTCTGTCTCTGTGGATTTGCCGATTCTGGACATTTGACATAGATGGAGCCAGCTGGCGTCTTTGTCTGGCTTCTTTCAAGTTCATTCATGCTGTAGCATGCATCAGCGCTTCGTTCCTTTCTATGGCTGAATAGTATTCCATTGTAGTGATACACCATGTTTTGTTTATCTGCTTGTTTCCACCTTTTGGCTATTGGGACCATTTGTGTGCAAGTTTTGTTTCAACACAAGGATTGTTCTTATGTAACAGCATATGCTCTGGTAGCGCTTATCCTAACTCTAAGCCCTCTGTAAGTGCTCGTGGATTGGGGACATAACTATAGGGTGACCAAATTGTCCCAGTTTTTCTTGGACTGACCTGGTTTTAGCATTGAAGGCCTCACATCCCATTAACCCCTCAGTCCCAGCTAACCTGGGATGGCTGGTCACCCTACAGAGGCTGCATAAGCTAATCAGCAAGGGAAGGTCTGACAGTACCACGTACGGTTCAGCAGTGTGAGCCTTCTCCAAGGAAGACCTAATGGTTTGAGCATTTTGACCGTGGCTTTAAAACTCACTGTGACAAGAACATGTCCTTTGCCATTGTCTGTAATCCTCACTGATTCCAGGGCTGTGCTGTGGCACAAACCAGTCCCTCTAGTGCGCCTGCAAGGCTCTCCTTCCCTCCTCAGTCTCGGCTTCAGAGTCACCTCCACCACAGAGGCTTCCTAGAGCCCCTGTCTCCCAGAGCGTATTGTGAGTACGGGGCTTATCTGCATGGGTCTCCTCTGTGAGACTGGGATGCCCTCAAGAATGTGGGGTGTTGCCCTGTTTTTGTCTTCCCAGCATCCCTCTCCTCTCCTCCTGATAACAGCATCCCCATCTTCCTTTGGGGGTCTGGCCCTCCCCTTATCTCACACCATCTGTCTTGGGTAGAGTTGGTGTCACTTCCAGGGAAGCCCTGCAACACAGGCCTGGTGCATCCACCTATTCCAATGCCTTGGCCGACATGACTGGCTCAGATGTAAGTGGCCTGTATCAGGTCAGCACACAGCCAGTCCCGCAACTTGTGTTGGAGCTGGCTGGAACTAAGATGAGACTGAGGAGAAAGGGGCTCTATTTCTGGTGGGGCTGCTAAGTTCTCTGTGGCCATCTTTGCCACATCCTTGGGGAATGCCACCAAAAAAAGAAGGCAACAAGGAAGAGAGCAGATCTGAATGATGGGGAGAGTAAAGGTGGCGCCAGGCGAGAGGGAGGGTCCTCCCTCTAACTCTTGCTGGTTATGTGGGGTCACCTTTTGGCCTAAACTAGTTTGTACTGGGTTTTTGTCCCTTGTACTTTATTGTTATTTAAATCCAACACACATGTCCCAGCACCTTGTAGGCACTCAAGAAGTATATATGTAAATGCATATTTTCCTATGTATACCATTTCTGTATATTTTCTTAGTAATGAAATAACATCAGCACAAAAAGGGGCAGGAGGGGAAGATGTAAACAAGTTGGGGTCATCACACGTTGCCTGTGAGAATGTAAAATGGCGTGACCGCTATGGAAAACAGTGTCAGTTTCTCAGAAAGTTAAGCATAGAATTTCCATATGACCCGGCGACCCCACTCCCAAACATGTAACCCAAAAGAACTGAAGACAGGTGTTCGAACAAAAACACGTGCATGAATGTTCGTAGCTGCACTGTTCACGGTAGCTGAACAGTGGAGATGAAGCAAGTGTCCACCAACAGACGGATGTATAAACACATGTGGTCTATCCATGCAATGGAATGTTATGCAGCCATAAAAAGGAATGAAGACCCGATATGTGCTACAGTGATGATGAACCTTGAAAACATTATGCTAAACGAAATAAGCTGTACCTAGAGGAACAAGTATTGCATAATTCTACTTATATGGAATATCCAGAATAGGGAAATCCCTAGAGACAGAAAGCAGATTGGCCGTCACCAGAGGCTGGGAGAAGGGGGTGCGGAATGTGGAGTGACTGCTGAATGTGCACAGGATTTTCTTCTCGGGGTCATGAAAACCTTCTGGAACTAGACAACGGTGATGGTTTGCACAACATTGTGAATATACTAAATGTCACCAGTGGTAACATTTATGGTATGCATATTTTACCTCAATGATGAAAAAAAGGTTCAAGAACTTCATCAGGGCTGCTGCCGAGGACGCCATGCAGGTTGCTTCCTTCATCGGGTGCCCAGATTAGGGGGGCCAGTCTGAGAGCCAGACTGTGCTCTGCCCCTGAGGGGTGACCTTTGAAGAGCAAATGCCCTTTTCCCTTGTTCACTCAAAGAGACCACTTTGGGCCAGTGCAGAAATTCAGAGACAAGATGGCATAAGAAGTAAACAAGCTTGGTCTGTGGTATCACTTGACCACAATTTTCAATGACACTCCTTCGTGGTGTGTCTAAGCACTTGGGGAGTGCGACAGCATGCACCCTCTCCCACCCTGAGGGTGCGATGTCTGCAAATTCACAGCGCACCATCGAGTGCTTAATTTGTAAAGCCAGCATAAATCACTGGACTAAATTGTCCATTACTGTGAGCTCAAATTATCTCGCCATCAAGAGAGTGATCTGGTTGTTTTGCTCGCGCTGGAAAATTAAGAGACGAAAAGGCAAAAGGCCAAAAGGAGAACTATGAAGAAAAAAATCAGTTTTCTGATGTTGGTAGAAATGCACAAGGTTAAAGGTAGGAACATTCTGCCTGTGCTCATCAAAGGCATTTTTTAAAAAGCCATTTATGTTTTGGGGGTCGATGAGTTAGAACAGAACAATAATAATCCTCTTGCAACTATGGAAGATTTGGTTGTATCCTGAGGGCTAGTATTCAGAGACCCATCCCTGCCTCATAGAATTAGTAGAAAAGAGGAAACATTTAAAAAGAAATGTTCCAGGAAAGCAGTATGTCGAGCACTTCAAGCAGTCAATGCTAGTTTTGTTCAGGTCCAGGGGTAGTGGCCAGCTGTCTACCTCCTAATCTGGATCTGTATCGGGTCCCTGAATTTGGGTTCCTATTTACAGTGCAACATAGGAAACTCAGTGCCGATTTTACAGGACATGAAATGAGACTATTCCTGTTGACCCAGAACGTTTGCTAAAGTGTCAAAGGTGAGCGCAATGGATAACAATATTTCCTCCTCCTGTTAAAAAGTGGCTAGACTGGTCCTCTGACCACGTATAACCATCAGCCTCCAGCATATATATAAGAAAAGGTCGAGATTTTACCCAGAGGAGGTTTATCTGACAGGCCTTTGTAGGAGGGAGGGGTTCTTATCCCCTTCCTTCCCCCAAGCCAAGAGAGGAAAGTTCAGAGAGGAATCAGTCATGAGACTGGATACGCCAAAGGGTAGGGTTGTGTTTCTGGTGACTCACTGGCAGTGAAGGGAGCCTGGGGCTGACCATGATGGCCAGTGAGCAGAGAGGGCCATGGGCAGCAGTGCGTTCATTTGCCCATGGGCCAGAGCATGGGCCAGAGCATGTGTTCCATCCTGAAAAGACTCACCCAAGAGGGCAGCATGCCAGGCAAGGGGAACTCAGAGAGAGAATGTGGGGTACTACTGGGAGAATGACTGAAAAGGTAGTGTGCAAGAGTTCACCTGGAACGTGCATTGAGTCCCCATGGAGGTTTCTAAAGATGTGTCAGATACAGAACCAGGGATGGGAGGAGGCATTTGGCACTCAAGAGAGAACTCTACCTGGACTCACCTGTTCTTAGCTAAAGGGGCCTTTGCCACTCCTCTCTTTGCTCCTGTATTTAGCGAGGTGAGCTAGAGAGGAGGC